CACCATCTTACTTTGGTGATCTTTTAAGTTCCTATACCCCCAGCAGGCCCCTGAGGTCCAGTGATCAAACCCTACTGGTTGTGCAGTGCACCAGGCTTCTGTCATGATCGCAGGAAGCTTTCTGACCCACATGAAAGCATCACCACAGGCAGGAGGTAAGAAATAAAAATATGGTTTTATTAAATGAAAAAATAATAAACAGAGGACGCAGCTCCAAACGGGTGCTGGAAAAAGCCAACGGGAACTAAGGGCGAAACTTCGACGAAGCGGAAACCGGGCCAGGGTCTAAAAATAGAATAACACACAGAGGTCAAACCAGGAACGAGAGACCCAGATATAAATAGAGGGAATGGAGATCTTACGGAGCCAGAACAGAGGATGGATGTGAGGAGAGGGTTGGTCAGGTCTGGTCAACGGAGAATTGGGTTGAGGCAGGAGGGCTGTGGCTGACGGGTATCCAGGGCAGGTGAACGGCGGAGAGCAGCTGGCCAGGGGAGATGAGTGACGATGTTGAGGTTCACACTCCAGGAAAGACAAGAACTCAGCCTGGGATCCAGTAGTAGATCTGGAGGCAGGACAGGCAATTAAAAAACAGGACAAGCAGGGTAAGATTGCAAAATTATTACACGTTCAGGACGAGGCTGGAAGCTACCCAGGTGAGAGTATCAACCGGCGCTGGAGTGTGGACAAGCCACTCCTTAAATCCCCTAGCCTTGCTGATGGGAAATCAGCAGCAGCTGAGGCTCTCCGACACGCCCACCTGCAAAGAGGCTCAGAGGGAAAAACAGCAGACTCATGACAGCTAAAGACCAAAAGTGACAGATCATTTGCTGCTGTGGCCCCCAGACTCTGGAGCTCTCTCCCAATGAGCCTGAGATCAGTGGACTCAGTGGACTCCTTTAAAAAACAGCTGAAGACTCACTTGCTCAAGGTGGTTTTTGTATGATCTTCTTCACCACTCTCTCTTTATTCCGCTCTCCCCACCTATTCCACCTTTCTCAGGATCCACTGATGTCCCTCTTTCCTATTCACTCTCTCTCTTTCTTAAATTTTTTAAAATCACAATTGTCTATTTTTTGCTCATTTGAAATATATTTTTAACCATTTTCGAAATTATTTTTTATATTTTTACATTTTTTGTTTTTGTGAAGTGCCTTGTGATTTTTATCTTGAGAGGCGCTATAGAAATATCTTCTTCTTCTTCTTCTTCTTCTTCTTCTTCTTCTTCTTCTTCTTCTTCTTCTTCTTCTTTTCAGTATATCAGTAAACCACCCGGCTGAAAATTATATTTAACCATCTGTTTTAAAATCAAACTAGTAGCAATACTCTATGACAAATGTGGTTGGCATGTGTGAAAAATATCAAAACCAAAATATAAAGAAAATAAACAAAACTTTTACTCTGTATCCATGGAGATTTGAAGATATGTTTGCCAAGAACTCAGAGGGGAAACAACTTTCGTCAAATTTATTTGAAGAAAATGTTGTTTCCATAGTGAAGCACTATCCTCAACACAATGTTAGGCGTTTGCTTTTATGGACTTAATAGAGCTACTTGCATGAAAGAATAATTTTTCTTTGCAGACTTTCTGTTTCTTTACATTTCAGTCTTATCGGTATGAAAACAGCTCCTTTCTGGTGTAGGCAGCAGCTCTAACACTGCAGGAGCACCACATTGCCTCCCACACTCAGACACAAGCTTTCTCAGAGAAATCTGCTCCTGGATCAGCAGACAGGAGTTTAGCAGGTGGAGCCAACAGCTTAACCCACATGAAGAAACAAACAGAATCAAGTAAAAACAGAATTCATACAGAATTATTATTTTTTAATGCAAATGTGATGCATGATTGCACAAGTCAAGATGTCACTGATTAATGTTTCAGTATTTTCCTTTTTTAACATCACTCACAAAGTTTTTTTTTAAACCATTGTTGGTTCAGCTTTCCTTTAACATTATTAAACGTTTTGAGGCATTCGCCACAGCTCAACCAAGAGCTGAGTCTGCAAAGAATGCAGCAGGGATGAGTGGAGACACAAGATGAGCACACGTTTTTAAAAAAAGGCAGAACGTCTAGGTGACACAAAAAAATCATATATGTGGTTTTAATCTATGCATTTCGTTATTTGTGTTTATTCTTAATCCCCTTCATTATAAACTTCTCTCTTGTTCATTGGGGAAAATGCCATGGCTGCTTTAAAGATGAGAAGCTTTCATGTGAAGAAGCCAGAAATAAATAAAAAAGGAAAAAAAAAATATTTTAATTTGCTTCACACCACCCACTTTGCATCCTTCTCACTTGCACAAAGTAGGAGGTATCTAAACCTTTCAAATTCCCAGAGAAATAAATAAATAATAAATCATAATTAGGTCACAACTATCATATATATATATATATATATATATATATATATATATATATATATATATATTTATATATATATAGATAGATAGATAGATAGATAGATAGATAGATAGATAGATAGATAGATAGCCTCTGTCAGTGCACCCCAGGGCAGCTGTGGCTACGATGTAGTTCATCCCCACCAGCGTGTGAATGTGTGTATGTGAATGGGTGAATGACTGATTGTGTTGTAAAGTGCCTTGAGGGGTTCCAAGACTCTAGAAGGCGCTATATCAAATACAGGCCATTTACCATTTATATATAGGTCATAAATATCACCAGTTTCATGGATTGTGTACATAAAAGAACTTGCATTTTATGACTCTTTACTCTGCCCGCATCTATGTGGAATGAAACTCCAGTTTCCCCACTTTATTTTTATGATATCCACTTATGTACTTTCTACATCTGATGCAAGACTACTGATCGCATTGCTACTAGTTTTTATCGCTGAAAGTTTTATTCTAGTTTTTTTAAATTATATTTTATTCTATTTTATTCTATTTTTAATCTTATTATTCATGTTAAATGTAGCACATTAGTACCGAAGCAAGTTCCTAGTTTGTGAATTGTTTTGTTCACTGACAATGGCAATAAACCTATTCTGATTCTGATAAGAGAACTATGCTAAAATCTTCAGATGTTTTAGATAATCTCTGGCTGCTGCCCTTAATTGATAACATTATTGCGTTAAGGACTCAACAGAATATTTTATTTTTTTATTGGTTTAGGATTAGTTTTTTTAATTTTCAAAACTTTAAACAGTTCATAACACAGATATAGGATAAATGAAAAAGACCCATGATCTCTGGTACGTAAGTATGAAAGTGAAAGTTGGTCCACACTGTCCTCTAGTGGTAATATTCTCCTTTAGTCAGAGCTAGAGAATGTCTTTCCTGTTTAAATGCCTTCACTTTAGAATTACACAAATTCCCCCAAAGCCAAATTAAAGATCCTGTTTTTACAAAAAATTCCTTAAAAAAGATGTGTAACCAGATTTTTGTTGTGTCTGTTGTTTAAGTCATCTGAGAAACAACTCAGTAAATTGTAAATGAAGCAACATAAACATAATTTATTTTGTAAATTAGACCAATAAATAAGTTGCCAAGTGTTCTTGATGGATTAGAGTTAGATTTGCTGCAAACAAGTGGTGAGGTTGGAGATTCAGATGAATTTGTAAGAAACCGCTACAGCAAACCAAAGAAAAAAACAAGGTAGAATGTTGATGAAAATGTTCTAGATCTGCACAAAATAAACATAAAGCAAAAAAAAAAAAAAAAAAAAAAAAAAAAAAATCAAAAAGCCTTTTCTATTGAGATGATTTAACAAACCTCTAGATTCATGGAACAATTTTCTTTTGTTGTGGCTTCAAGCTCAAAATTGCTTTTTTTAACCAATTTATTCCCAAATGAGCCCTTATGTCTGTTATTGTATCATTTCCATGAAACCATCACACGTGTCACAACAATATTACAATCACTGACACTGATTTAAAAAGGCTGCTGGAAACGTATCACATGTTGTTAAAGTAAACAGAGATAAGCACATGATATTCGAGGAGATAATGCTGCATGAGGCCTTGTGTGAACAAAGGAAAGAACAATATTGGATTCACACATTACTAATATATTAATAACCATTGTTGAGTACACAATGATCCCATGATAGTCCCATTGGATTGTCATGGGCTGTAACTGAGCTTTAGCATTATTTAAAATCACAAAAACAGTATTTAATGTTGACAGCCAGACAAGTCACACTTTAAGCTGCAGGATTGGAATCATCAGTGAGGGAAATTTTTTATTTAATTTTGTTTTGGTATTTTTGGCAGGATGAATAAACTGATTATTTAGCATCAAACTGAGTTCCGTGGACTGGGCGTTAGCTCGATATGACTAAATATGAAACCATAAACGTCCACGTTCATAAAACTTTTTTTTTTTTTGGATTAAAACATAAAAAAGGCAAACATGAAAAACAGTTTTTATTTTTCCAAATGTGAAATATTCTGAGAAAAAGAGAAAAACCCAGGAGTCACACAGATGCAAACTCATTCTTACCGGATAGTTTCATACTTAATAATTTTATTTATGTTTTTTTAATCATGAAAATGATGCAATTTAGACTGTGACTAGATTGTTTTTGATAAAGACCACAATACAATGGTACAACAGCATGTTTCCCCATTATGCACATTCAAATAGTTAATTAGCTTATTGCAATGACAGTAAGCTACAACTATTTGATAACACATTTGTTGTGTATGCAATATATGAAATAAATCAAGTTTCTTTAAATGATTCTGACGCACATAACATTTCAATTATAATATTCATGACAACTGTTGCATTCAATAAATTAAGATTTAAAGATTACAGTTACCTTTGTAGACTTTGTTATGAATACAGCACACATTGTAGTAAAATATCTGCAGAAAAACAATCTGTGTGATGCATTAAAGTCTCAATAGCACCAACCTTATTAATATATATATATATATATATATATATATATATATATATATATATATATATATATATATATATATATATTTATATATTTATATATATATATACATTAATATTATATTAACGATGATTCAATATTTTCACAGTGTTCAGATTTTCATCTTGTCCTTTAGTTTACTTAACGTGTTGCAGTAAAATTTCATTATAAAGTCGGACAAAATTCAATGTGACTGGGCTTCACTATATATCAAGAATCATTAATATCATGAAGTTATAGTTTTGTAGAATAAATTTTCAGTTACTGCTAAAACCACAGGAAGCCCTGCGGGGTATTTAACTAGAATCGTGTCAAACATACACTCAGCCTGCATATCAAATTAGCCTGCTGGCCTCAAAACATAGAAGAGCTGGCAAACCTTTAACTAACAGTCTCCATACAATTATAACTGAAAAATATGTTGACTAGTTTTGCAAACTTACCTGAGAAAATATGATAAAAACATACTCTACGTCACCAATAGACTTCATATTATGCTTTCTCCAAATGTTTAAAAACGGTGATATAACATTCCCTGCTGCACTCTGAGTTGAATAATCTCTGTTTTGATAAATTAAAGATCTAACTGACACTGTAAATTGTTAGCTAATCTTGTACTTTGAGCTGTTCGTCAGTGAAAGAGGATCTTCATTTGGGGTCATCGGGGCTGTTCTTCTCAAATAGCGGAAGGCTCTTCTCATTTTCCATTTGAACTGTTTCTAAACTTTTCTTAGACTGATGGGAGGCCCTGATTGCATTAATGAAAGCTAGTCGGCTTTGCACAGACACGTGAGTGAGCTGCAGGTTTCTTCGTGATGGACCTCGAAGCAGCTCTCCATAGGCCTGACGGAAATCCCTGTTGAATGCTGGGTAAAGGATGGGATTCAGAGTTGAGTTGAAGTAGCCGAGCCACAGGACCACTGAATGAAGTGTGTTTGGAGGGTTTGTCTTTTCCTTTATGCCCATGCAAGTGAAGAAGGTGAAGTAAGGGAACCAACAGATGATAAACGCACCCAGTACGGCTGCCAGGGTCACCGTGGCTTTGTGCTCACGAGCTAAGGTTGCTGTTGCGGAACGTGCAAATGAGGGGGTGGTAGCACGGATACGCCGCACCTAAAAGGAAGATGATGACAAAGATTTAGAGAAATAGATTAATACAATGACACCATTGGATTATTTGTAAGAAAATTGAAATTTTTGACGTTATGTTTCTTAAAAATATGAGAAGACATTCCATTTAGTTGCATTATGGGTAATGTGTTAAAATTGCTGGGCCCTGAAAACTTTCTCTAGCTATGCATATGTGTGTGTGTGTGTGTGTGTGTGTGTGTGTGTGTGTGTGTGTGTGTGTGTGTGTGTGTGTGTGTGTGTTATTTGACTGTTTGAATACCATAAATGTGTGTAAGGGAGTTGACAGCACTTTCAGCCCCATGCCCTCAGAGTATTGTTCCAAAAACACAACATGGCAACAATGTTTAACTCATGGTGTTGGACAAAAGTGTAGAAGAAATACAGTCTCACCAGAATATGACTTTTTATATGACAAATCTGGCACTTCTTTGACTTTGCTCCAGACTGGCCAGGGTGACCTCCAGACCACCACTTGGGGTTTGTGGAGGATATTCCCCAATTCAAACTGTTGAAATCCCCATTAAAATCTGTGGAATTGGTCCTATTGCCCACGCGCTGCTCGCTTAAGCTTCACAGGCGATTGCCCTCATAGCAAGGAAAAGTGAAGGTACTGTGCTCCTAGAAGTTTTGGAAGGAGAGGCAGAAGACCATTGGCAGGTTAGCAGGAGAGGCCTCTGGAGCACCAGAGAATTTGGCGAGAACTCTCCAGGAAGTCACCCCTGGTTGTCATGAAATGTCTAAGTTCTGGAGCTTGCACTGCTAGCTTAAGCTTTATAGGCAATCAGCCTCATGGCAAGGAAATTACCAATGTCTGTGCCCCTTGAGGTTTAAGTAGGAGCCACAGAAGATCATTAGTGGGTTAATAGGAGAGGCCTCTAGGTCACTGTAGTGTTTGGCGGGAGCTCCACAGGAAGCTTCCCAAGGTACAGTGAGCTTTATTTTGGGCAGTTTTTGAGGTCGTAACCCCTGGTTCTCATGAAATGTCAACGTCCTGGAGCTCTTGCTGCTCGCTTAAGCTTCACAGTCAATCAGCCTCATGACAAGGACATTACGAATATCTGTGCCCCTGTACATCATTTTAAGGGGCAATATTAAGTAGTTCAGCCCAGCCTTGGGGCTCAATTTTGGGCATAAACAACAGTATAGGAAGAAGACAGGATGTGACATATGTGGAAGGAGGTGTGATTTGTTTCATTTGTGCATTATTCAATTGGAGTGAATAAAGAATGTGGTCAGAACTAACTCATGTTGTCCCTTCATTCGTCCACACTGGTGTATTTTAAGTCAAACAAATTAAAATACATAATATCACAGAATAAAAATTCAGTGTCATAAATGTAATGTCTAATAAATTCATTTTCTGGTGAGACTGTATTTCTTTCATACAAAAGTCCTGTCCTGGAGAACTAAAATCCTGCAACAAAATCCTGTTGTTTTGTTGCTTCAACTTGATAAAAATTAATGAGTAATTACCAGGCCTCTTCAGAAATTAACATGATAATGAGGTGATTAAATCATTTTATTCAGGTGTGTCGAAACATATTGTCCAGGATGTCAACCTTCTGTACTTTCATAATGGTCAAGGCTAAACAAATTAAAGCAAACCTAATTGGAAAAAAACAAACAAACTCAGAAATACTCTCTTTAAAAAAATATTTGCTGTCAAGGTAGGATTAACTTGGGGTTGGGTTAAGGGGTGGGTATTGCAGTTTTAATAATGGCATTTAAGATATATTGGGTCACCATAATAATAAGTATGATTTGCTAACTGTGGGAAACAAATTTACTTTAATGGCCTCTTTCGACAACTTTCCTTGGCTTACGAATAAAAGGTCAAACTGTGCGACATAGAAAGAATTATGACTCGCGTCATTACATTTTTTATCTATTTATATTACTGAAGGGAGTTGTTAAAACACTTCTAGACATGATTGTCTTGTTTTAATTAAATGTATATGATGTTAGTGCAAAACACTAACCTGTTCTCGAGCCACTCTGAAAATACAAAGATACATTCCACACATAAGCAACAGAGGTAGGTAAAAAGAGCCAAAGGCATAAATTAGAACATAGTTGTTGTTCCATTCAAACTGGCAGTAGCGTCCCTCCTTGTCCTCATCCCCAGTGACCCAGTCCAGGTTCTGTACCCTGTAATCCGCTGTGTTCCAGCCCAGGTGGACGGGCAAAAAGGCTACAGCCAATGACAAGCTCCAGATGGAGATGATGGCCAGAGCCACCCTTTGAGGAGTAACCTTTTGACAGTGGCTGAGGGGTGATGAAATGGCCAGATATCTGTTCACACTGATTGCCAGGAGGGTCAGGATGGAGCATGTACACAGCATGATATCCAGCGAGATGTAAATGTCACACAAGGTCCCTCCAAAAGGCCATTTCCCATCACGCAGCTCAACAGTTGCAGAAAGCGGCAGCACTAGCAGGCCAAGCAGGAGATCTGCCACCGCCAGCGACACCACAAAGCAGTTGGCAATCCGCCACAGTCGTCGGCTGAGCCCAACAGCCAAGCACACCAGGACGTTTCCACCAATGGTCAGGATTATTACAGACACGAGGAACAACCAACGAAGAACTGTTAACATCATGGCTGCCTCCAGCTTTGGCTTACTCCTGCAGATTTTTAATTATTATTTATTATGACAAAGTATTGTTTCAAATAGATCATCCACTTTTCCAAATAGTCTCGGGCACTTCACTTATCCATCAGATGATCATCCTCATGGCATTTGGTTGGAAAGGGTATGAGGTCCACTGATGAATGCCTTAATGGAATCCTCTTCTTGGCCATTTCTATAACAGTGATAACTCCACAAGCTCAAAGACAACAACTCTTCTGCAAAAAAAAAAAGCATTAGAATTAATAAAATAAACAACACAATCAATAAAAAACAATCACATGCATGTCAGTTTATCATTAAATGAAGATACATTAGAATCTGTCAATTGCAATTATTGAATGAAACATTATTGAATGTAAGATTGGATAAAAATATCAATTCAGGGTTCAGTCAGCTGATTACAAGCCGAATACAAACCTTTTCCCATAAATTTGTCCCATTAGGTAGATTTTTTCCCCCTTTACTTTTCCCCCTTTATGAACTGACCTCCCGATCCAGAATGTAATTTTGTAAAACTCTGCTGAGCCAGGATGTTCGATGAAGGGCATCCTCTCATAAAATCTACAAGAGCAAAAGCCCTAAATAAGAAATTAAAGGGCAGCTAAGGGATTAAAGCCTTCTATTTTGGATTTCAGACACATTTGTGACAACATCATACACAGAACCCACAAAGACTATATATTCAGCTTCATGTGATAACAAAAACTGTAAATGAGGTAACTATAAAAGTAAAATTCAGGGCTGTATTGATCTTTATTGTGGGTGATCATACAAAAGCATGGACATATTGGCATTAGTATTAACTCATGAGTCTTCTCTTTTTGTCAGGAACAGCTTTGAAATTGACAAAATAAAAACTTGATCAGGAGTGAACCGAATGATTTATAACATTTAGTGGCTGTTTGTGATATAGCTTAGAGACATTAATTCCTACATTGATGACGATGCGTTTCTGGTGAACCAGATGAGAAACTAAACTCACTTTGGAGCTTTACAACAAAAACATCACAACTGACATTTTATGAAGTTGGAAGAAACCAAACCAAACAAACAAACAAAAAAGAACATACTGTATATACACTCACAGTTATTATTATTATTATTTGCTTAGTGTAATAAAGCCATTTATACAAACTTTTTATACGTAACGTTTTTCCCATCCTCCACGAAATTTTTGCATTGACCCACGAAATCGGAATCCTGCATTCCCAGAGAAAGGAGATGGTTCTAAACACCAGACGCCATTTTCTAGATCTAAACTACTTTTTTTGACTTCAAATTATGTTTTTCTTTTTGGGACTCTGGTAGTTGAAGTGGTATCAGCCAGCTTATCCTCCTTCTTTGATATTATTGAGCCACGGACATCTCACACCTGTTGTGTTCTTTTGCTGCACATACTAATGAATGGAGGACCCAGTGAAGTGCAGAAATATGATGGTTTGGCAAGACCGACGACTGGATGGTCCAATAGTTGCTTTAAGTCCAAGCCATATTGCTGGTGGAGGTTTTTAGACAAATGCGAGAGAACCACTTTATTTATTGATTTCTTTTTTAATCAATATATTTCTAGCTGCAATATTTTAGGTTGTTAAGACGCATGAAAACATTTTAAGTTAACTCATTTTCCAAATTTGCTATTGAAGCTTTAACTTTAGCTGTTAAAATAAATAGAATTCAGAGTAGAGGTGCATGTGAAAAACAGGATAATTGATGATGATGATGTTGATGATGATGATGGTGATGATGTTTTATATTCACTTACTTGCTACTGTTGGGGTCGTAAGACAAAATCTTAAAAACTGTTGTAAAACATTTGGTCCAATGGGTCATATAAATCTAAAACTAGTTTGACAAAAGACAAACAAATCAAAGTATCCCACCATCCATTTCTCAAAATAAACCCCAAACTGAGCATTAACCCGAGACCCTGCATCCCTTAAAGAGGATGTGGCTTCTTGCACTGCAATATTTCATTTAGATCCACTTTGATCTTATTTTATTATTTATGAAGACTCAAATGTTCTTTTTTTAGTCCATTATTAAAATAATATTTTCAGTGTTTTTAATTAGTATCCTTAAATTATGTATAAAACATTTTTTACAGTACTACAAATCCAAAACAACTGGGAAAAACAAAAAGTTCCCACCCCCCCCAAAAAATTATAAATAAAATAAAGAAATACTTGTAAAAATCCAATAAAACAACATGACACACACGTGTTTGTTTTCTTTTGAATTTTCTTTGAAAGCTCGAGCTGTCCTTATCGGATCATGAGGCTGAGATAACACTGATGAATGAAGCCCAAACTGTATTTGCTTTATTTAATAATAAACAAGCTAAACCAATTTCACAGTAACAGCTAATTTAATTTGATGATGTGAAAATGGATTGTCCTAGCATCACTCAGACTTTAATCTTTGAATGTGGAAACAGATTCTAGGCATCTCCAAAAAGGTACATTGAGGATTTACAAACAAAAAACAAGACTGACAGAAGACAGTGTGCTTTGGTGGCTTGACTCCCACACCTTTTAATACAAGAAACCAAAAGTGTTCCCCAGGGTTTAGCTCTGGGACGTATTTTATTTTTCCATTACATCAACAGTCTTTATAGCGATGCATGACATTGTTATTTATTCACAGTTGCTAATTCAGGCTTTTGACTTGCAACTCTCTTATCCTAATGCAAATAGAGAGGGTCCATACAACCGGCCTGGACTGCACCACTGATGGTACTATCGTGGCCCCCTTCTGTTGTAAGTCCATAGCAAAATGTTTCAGAACAGTTAGGACGGAGCAACAACACAGTCCACCAATTGGGGGACAGAAATACGTCACTACCTGTGACTCGTTTTAGTGTTTTATTGTGTCATTGTTTTAATGTGCTCTTAGTATTCATCATGTTTTCTCTGCTTTTAATTGAGATTTTTATCCTTTGTTTTAGCTCCTTGTAATGGTGTGTTTTGTTTTAGCCTGTGCAGCACTTTGGGCAGCTCGCATGCTGCATTTTAAATGTGCTATATAAATAAACTATGCTATGCTATGCTATGCTACCTACAACAAGCAAAAAAAAAAAAAAAAAAAAAAAAGAAAAAAACCCCGGAGTTCCATTGTTTGTATTTATGATAGTTACACACGATGATGAGAAAATATCAGCAAGCAGCAGCAAGGTTTGGTCAGCTTCAGGGCTCCAAACACTCCTCGACATTGTTGGCAATAGCCACATTCAGGATGAGCTAAGCAGATCGGTAAGGAATGAAAGTTTTTAACAAAGTTTCTCGGTGGATTTCAGCCAAAGGATTCAAGCAGACATCGGAACAGTTTTAAGCCAAGCTGAAGAAATTAAAAGCCCAATATAGAAAAGTTAAGGATAGCAACAGCCACAGTGCAACTGGGAGAAATACACAGAGATGGTTTGACGTGCTGGATGCACTTTAAAAATTCTGAATGGTTGCACAATTTATTCACGAAATTACACAGTACAGTTAACCCCACCTGCCAAGTGAGAGGCCAAACCACTATTGAAATGGTCTCCTGAAGTAGCAGACCAATACCGCTACATGCTGGCCCATGATGACCCGCCCCGCACCGTCCCAAACCCTGCGGTGGAACCAAGCTATTAGACAGCATCAGCCATCTTTTATGGTGTGGTTTCTTGGGGGAGAAGCTTACCTATGGCTGAGAGGAAGAGATTTGAAAAGCTCATTAACCCTCTGGAGGCAGGTGTTGCAGATTTACAACAGTTAAAACCTACCTACCTGGTTACTCCACATTTGTATTTCATGAGCATTTTTTAAAACTCAGAAGTACCCCTGAAGGACTTAGTTGTTCGTCCTTTTATCAAAACTTATTTTGAGCCTGAGAGGGTTAATACAGCCAGCTCTTTCTTGGGTTGATCCAGTGCAGGAGGTGGGAGACAGAAGGACTCGCTATGATATAATTGTGTTGTTGGAAGATGTGGTACAATATGATGCAGCATGGTACAATACAACATAAAATATGTTCATCATACAACACAGTACATAACAATATTGTCTCGTGATTCAATGCAATACACTAATGTACAAAATAATGCAATGTGATAAATTATAGAGTGCTAAATCACCTAACAGACTAAATTACTGAAACTTTTACTTTGTACAACCTTTATTATAACATGTTAAGGCTTTCTGAACCGTAAGCTGAATCTAACTTACCTGTTCAAAATGAACAGCAGCATAAACAAAATTCAGTAGGAGGTATATTACTAAGATAACACATCACCAGCTCACGTTTTGTGACGCAAGCTTAGTGGGATGTGCTCATTCATGTTATGTTTGCACAGTTTATCAAATTTTCAGTAGCCAGAAAAGCAGGAGAAATCAAAAGAAGTGGTAGATTACCCATAATAAATATTTTGTTCAGTGGCAGTGGTTCCTGTTTTGCGTTGCATGTTTCCCAGTGGAATCTAATCCACGTTGTGAGGACAAGTTAGACAATAAAATCAAGTAATGGTAGTTAAAGTGATAAGTTCAATAGTTATGACGTTTATATTACGGTGGAGGAAATTATGGACAAACAGTAAAATCAGTAAATTCATTTATCATTTACTCAAAATAAACACCCCCCTGGGACCTTTAACACAGTTCATGTTGAATGAATTAAAATCAGTAGAAATATATTAATCCAACAAAGTTTTATATGCTTTATAGAGGCTCAAAGATCAGTTTCCAACTTTAAATAAATGCCATTCTTCCACCCATTTAATAATCTGTTTGGATTTGACTCACCAGATAAAAACTAGAACATCATTTGATGTCAACTTTGGACATTTTCAGAACTTGAAAAAGTAGTGAACTTTCCCCTTTTATGCAACAAGTTTATGAAAGTAAAGAAGCTTTCTTCTCCTTTAAGTAGATTTCCCTGAGGGAGGATAAACACTATTTGTTTACTTTATAATGGTGTTTGTTCAGAACTTGGAAAGTTGAAATAGCTGCTACAGTGTCATTATAAGCAGGATTTAATGGTCATAAACATTCAAAAGGGATGAAAAAACTGTAAATAAAGAGGCTTGTCAACCCTTTGGTTGTGTCCTGCTCCTAATTAGCTTTATCGTTTCAGTGACAGGTGAAACACAACACTTTGTTATGGAATCACGACCAAAAAGAGAGCACTTTACAGCTCACCTTATGGTTTATTTCTATTTTATCCAACTATAAAAATAAATCTTCTTTGTTGGGTCCCTCAGAGTTGAATCTGTGGAGGAATTAAGAGCTTTAACTTGTTTACTATGGGTTAATGTGAAAAGCCGCAAATCTGATTCATGCAGTCACATAGTGAAAACTTTATGTGCTGAGCTACTGCTAAATACATGGCATGGCTAACAAGTGAGTATTTTGTCACTGCTATAGTTCAGTCTGCAGGATCCCTGAGGACAGCACTCACCCATGTCATGATCTGTTTACTCTACTGCTCTCAGGCACTAAAGAGTCCTCAAATGTCACATCTCCAAGCTGAGGAACAGCTGTACACTCACTGAACAGGAACGGTACACACTCCCATTCCACAGTATCACACATATATGCCTACATACACACATATATGCGTGTCACACACATGGCTTTTAGGGCAATGGCCATGATTATGTGCAATGTCTACCCACAATTCATATGTGCAATGTCTACCCACAATTCATATGTGCAGCTTTGTATGTAATTTTATTGATTTTCTTAATTTGATCTATTTTATACATATTTTGAATGTTTTTTCCATTGTACCTTTTTACTGTATTTTCATGTTCATGTTGTTGCTGGTTAGAATGTTTGCTGCATGTAAGAGTCTGTCAATTAAAGGTGTGGCTCACTCATTTAATCAATACATTTGCAGAGGTCTATAGAAGTCATACTCTGGGGAAAAGAAGCTCCGCTGCACCATGTCCAGGAACTAGAAGTCAGCCAGATTAGGATTTGAAGTCTTATTTCCTGATTTTTGGATCTTTTACCTCTGATTGGATAACAGCAACACAACTCTATTACTGACACCATTTTCTCTGCAATGTTGATGTTTTATCTTCACAAATAACACAAGCCTGAAGGCATTCTGCTGTGTAGTGGAGATGCTAATGCTAATGCTACTAGCCGAGATGTTCTCTGCTGTTTCCTGGATGCTAAAGCAACAACAGCCTTCCCTGTCGTGAGTCAAGATGGGTGAGTCCATGAATGTTCAGTGACAGTGTGACGTAGATCTGTGAGGATTTTCAAATCCAAAACCCAATTATGGTCCTAGAGGGCCGGTATCGAGGAGGTTTTGTGGTTTCTCTTCTCCAACATGATTCAGTGGTTGCATCACCTGTGCAGCAGCTCATCAGGCTCTGCAGACGCCTGCTAATCACCTGCTGATTGAAATCAGGTGTGTTGAAGTAGAGTAAAAAGTAAAACCTGCTGGATTCTCCAGGATCAGGATTGGGCACCTCTGTTTTCTATCAGAAGCTATTGCAGGAGATAGGTGTAGGAGACAATTTTCACGTTCAGCCTGCATGAAAATCTCAGAGTGACCAATTATAATTTGAACTAATTGTTGAAAAATGGGTTTCCAGTGAACCACGACAATCTTGATGAATATTGCTGCACATAAATGGCCTGTATTTGATAGTGCTTTCTAGAGTCCTAGATTCCCTCCAAAGTGCTTTAGAACACAATCAGCCATCCACACACATTCAAACCCTGGTGATGATGAACTACAATGTAGCTACAGCTGTCCTGCTGCGCACTGACAGAGGCAAGGCTGCTGAGTACTGATGTCACTGGTCCCTCTGACCACCACCAATGCAACAACCATAGAAGCATTCTATTCTATTCTATTCTATTCTAGTCTATTCTATTCTATTCTATTCTATTCTATAAGGCAAGGCAGCTTTATTTCTAGAGCACATTTCAAACACAGAGGCAATTCAGTGTGCTTTACAATGATCAGGACATGATATGAAAACAACATAAAAACATAAATTAAAATACAAACAAATGGAATTACAGTTTAGAGCTAAAGGAGAAGACAAAGTTACAGTGCAGATTACTGTGGAGATGACGCAGCATGAGAAACAATTCATTTAGAGGCTGATGAGTACATTAGGGTTTTTAGTTTTGTTTTAAACAACACTAGGGTTGGGGCAGAGCTGAGGTAATGAGGAAGCTGATTCCATATATGAGCAGCTTAGTAACTAAATGCATCTCAACCATGTTTTGTTCTGACCCGTGGCTCTACCAGCTGATTGTTTCCAAGACATCTCAGAGCCCTATTGGGTGTATATACAGGAATAAGATCAGACATGTAGTTTGGTCCCATACCATTGAGTGATTTATAAAGTAGTAGGAGCACTTTGAAATCTATTCTGTAGTTTACTGGTAACCAGTGTAGGGATGTAAGAACAGGAGTGATGTGCTCTGTTCTCTTCGTTCTTGTTAAGACTCTAGCAGCAACATTCTGAACAAGCTGCTGTTGCTTCACAGCCTTTTTAGAAAGACCAGTTGGGAGACCATTGCAGTAGTCCAGCCGATTAGAAATAGAAGCATGAATGGTTTTCTCCAAGTCTGGTCTGGACATGAGACCTCTGACTCTTGATATTTGATGAAGGCGATACAATGCTGATTTAGTTATAGCCTTAATATGTCCAGAGAAGTTCAGGTTGGAGTCAATGACAACACCAAGATTTCTAACCAGGGTCTTTGTTGTTAGTCCAGCTGAGCAATGACATCCATTCTATCCTTCTTGTTGCCAAAGACAATAATTTCAGTCTTGTCTTTGTTTAGTTGCAGGATGTTTGACTGCATCCAGTCGTTTACTTGCTCTACACACTGACAGAGTGAGTTCAGTGGCCGATAGTCACTAGGTGATAGGGCTAGGTAGATCTGGGTGTCATCAGCATAGCTATGATAGGCGATGTTGTTATTAAGACCTGACCCAGGGGGAGTATATAGAGATTAAAGAGTAGTGGTCAAAGTTCTTCCAAGAGGCAGAGGCAGAAAACATCCAGGACATTATAACGCATCAGTGATTAGGTTTAAGAGGCCACCTTGTGGACACTTTCTGACCCATAAATAACAGGAGATGTGCAGGCAATAGGCCCCATGATATAGTTCAAACTAGTATTAATTATTGCATACATTTTTCAAACTGTCTGAAATTTTAAATACCAAGTTAATTATATGCAAATTTTTAGGTATACGAACCCCAAATGCTTTAAAATGTTGAACCAATGCATGATTTTTTTCATGACAATGATGTTGAGCGTTTATGTTCTCATTCAAGTCTGAATCAGGACAAGAAAATGGCAAAGAATTTATAATCAGACAAAAACAAAAGCATTTGATGATTGATGTCAAGAGCAGAACTTTCATTCAAACTAAGCTCCATTGAAGTAATGTGAGAATGAAAAAAGAAAAGTGAATGTTAACAAGTATAAAGTGTCTTAATACGATATAGTTTATATAGATGCATTAAACAGCTTCTCTGTGTGATTGTTGCTTATTCAAGGCTAAATGAGCTCTCTATGTGCACCTGTTGTTGTTGTTTACCCCCCCCCCCCCACACACACACACACACACAAAGATGTGAGAGATGAATGAATATCTAAGCAACACACCCCTCTGTTGAAGCCACACATATCCGTGCACCTTTAAAATACTAATATTTAACCATCGGTTCATTCTAAAAGAAATGTAAGCTTTGAAAGTCATAATTGCAATCCCTAGAATAAATGCAATATGTTTATTGTTTAGACCTTGTTTTCTATCTGGATCCTCCACCATGACGGTGTTAAGAAACACAAAAAAATCTCACCTTTTGTAATTTGTCCAGATTCTATTTTAGTTTCTGCTCTTCTTCAAAACCTTTGAATGTTCTCTGGTTCCTTGATCCACTGTAAATGTTTTTCTCACCCCCTCTGCTCCTTGTCTCCACCCCTTCTTCTCTCCTCCTGCTTCTCCTTTAATAAACAAGAGCATGTCCACTCAAATGCCTCCTTTCCGTGTGTGCTTGCTTTCTGCATGCATTTCTACATACGGGGTTAGGGTTAGGTCTTATTCTAACAATATTTTTAAACAGCAAAAAACCAAATCCAAACAAGACAAATTATGATAGGATAGAACAATCCATCAATACACAATTAGAAAATTAAAATATCAATTTAAAAAGTAAATAATGATGTAATTAAGTGTAAATGCAAACTGATTCAAATTTCTCAAAACAAATAAAGCAAACAAAATTGGATCAAATTAACCGCAGACAAATGCAAAACGACCACAAAGGAACAACAATTGAGTGATCTGATGCTAAATTTCAAATTATAATCAGAAATGACGACTACCACAGTTAAATAGTGACCCTTTGCTTAAAACAGGGAATTTCTAACATGTCCCTGCTCACCTAAATTACCTTTTTTGTCTCAAAAACAAAAAAGTTGGCAATTAAATCAAACTTTCAGAAACTGGCAGCACAGAGATTAAACAATAGCATTGGTTCATTTCAAACTACCACCAACAGGCCTGCTGCAGAACATATTTGTTTTTGAATAAAAATGTAGTAGTGTATGTTGGACACACTCATTCCTGTTTTGTTTGTCAAACGTGTATTGATCATTGCTTTTGAATGTCCAGGATTGCTTTGCACTCCTGACACATGCACAACAGAAAACATGTTGTGCGCACATCCAGCCCAACAGTAAATCACTTTGAGAGCAAGCCATAAACACTATAGATTTTATGGCGAGGAAAGCATGAGAATCACAAACCGTGTGTTTGTTTCACTAGAAATGGGAGCTTGTAGACTTCATAAAAACTATCAGGTCAATGAGGATTATAGAAACAAACATTGGCCATTATTTGAATAAGCTTTTCATTAACTTTCAGAGGATACTATCAGCTTTTGGATGTAAATCAATATAGTAAATTGGTGTCGTAAGAGGGGAAAATAAAAGCATTAATGTAGTAATGTAATCCATATCTTTGTTTTGGTTCTAATAGCTGAAAAAAACAACAACTTTTTTAAAAAATAAACTGAGCTACTCTTTTATGTCCCCTGCTGGACGATAGTTGGTACTGACATGGTAAACACTCAGATTGCATAAAGAACCCTTAGAATATACAAATGAACTGTTAAAGTGATGTTAAATATTTTTAATTAATACTTTCAATTATTATTTTTCAGTGTGAATAATTAAATTGTCCTCATGTGATTTAGTAAACAATTATCTTTAGATATATATTCACATCAACATTTTATTTGCAAGGTGTCTGATTGGTGGAGAAAATAATTAAATCCAGTAAAACAAGACATTTCTATTCTGAGAAAACAGGTGATGAAGAATTTCAGAAGACTACAACACTGGTGCATCATTAATGTAATGAACTACATTCTTGTTCTTAGAATGATCCATCCCCAGGCAGCTGATCTTCAGCAACATTAAGGACTGGAGGCCTGGTTTCCATAGCAACAGAGTGATGCTTAGTTTTCCAAGCTTGCTGTATAATATTGAGACAGAGGAAAGTAACTTGAGGGTTGAAACAGAACCAAACAGAAATGCTCCCTAGTGGCTAGCTGAGGTATAATCATTTTAAATTCAGCGTATTCCATACAAACACACATTTTCTCCTATTGGATGATATAAAACCATCATGATCACAAGCTCTCAGCTCCATATGTGTGCAAACGCTGGCTGCAAAAATAAAATTCAGCAGCTTCTGTAAATGAAATACTTTCGCTTCAGATTCAAAGACATTCGTCAGTAGAGACGCTTCACCTGTCTTGTTAATTGTTGATTATTTCAAGCAAATCATCTGCATGTTTTTTGTACTTTGTGGCACTGAAACACAAAACAAAACACACATCAGAACACACTTTTTCACAAACACTAATTGTTCTGTGTATTTGAAGGAAATCCAAAGATGTTCCATAAGAAGCATTAAAGTAATTTTTTTAATTTATTAGATTATGAAGAAATTAATAATGAGACTCAACACTCTGCTGTCATTCACCTTCAATCTCCCTGGTGTGTTAATGAGATGTCGGTGAGCCTGAAGCGATGACTCAGACTAACAAGATTTTTCTCACTGTTGAAAAGCCCGAGCTGCTTTGTGATGATGCACATAAGCTTTCCTCTATCAACGCTGACTTCTAGGGTCATAAAACGTCATCTGAAAGTACAAGCTGGTATCCTTTTTAATCAGCCTTATCCACCCATGTCAGAAGTCCATTAATTAGGGACTGGAGCTAATATTTACTTAAGGCTTTGACTGATAATAGACAGGGATCATGATTTCCAAAAACAAATGCCAACTTATTAATCTTTAGCAGACATATTAATAATAATGTGTGATGGTTTTCCAAAACTACTGCACATATTAGCTTTGATGAATAATTTGGGTGCAGTTTTTTTAATCATTAGTTTTAACTCGTCTTGTTCTGATAGTTTAGGCTGAAAAAATGTGGATCTGACCAAATTGTAACATTGGGAAGTTTTAAGTCTTCACTTTTAATAAGCTGTTTCCAATCAACATTTATACAGTCATGTTCTTATTTTGTACCTTTTAGATTGATTTGTGTTGTTGCTTTTAATTATAAATACAATGTTTGGTCTTTTGTTAATTTCCTTTAACCCTCTCAGGCTCAAAATAAGTTTTGATAAAAGGATGAACAACTACTGTAAAGTCCTTCAGGGGTACTTCTGAGTTAAAGAAAATGTTCATGAAATATGTATGTGGAGTAACCAGGTAGGTAGGTTTTAATGTTGCATATCTGCAATGCCTGCCTCCAGAGGGTTAAAAAAGTTGAGATATTCCTTTTGAACTTTTGTTTGTGGTTCACAGACACTCTCCATCCAATCTGACTGAGCTTGAGCTATTTAGCAAAGATAAAGGTGCATTTTTTTATTTTCTAGATGCACTTTTTAGTGATTATTTCTGATTATAATCTGTCACTCTGAAATTTTCTTGGCTGACTGAACATGAAAATAGTCTCCTACACCTATCTCCTGCATTAGCTTCTGATTGAAAATTGATGGTGAAACTCTAGGATTTGAAAATACTGAAAGATCTACGTCACACTGTCACTTAACATTTATAGATTCACCCACCTTAACCTGTGATGAGGAAGGCTGAAGAAGCCGGCAGCCGTCGGCGAAACTGTAGCTACAAACAGGTAAACAAAACTGTTTCTGTGTTTAAAAAAGAACGAAAGCATGGAGGAAGGCTGTTGTTGGTTTAGCCTCCAGGAAACAGCAGAGAACATATTGGCCTAGTAGAAGCTAACTGTTAGAATTAGAAACTCTACCACATGGCAAAGCCACCAGGCTTGTGTTTTCGGGGAGATAAAACATCAATGCTGCTGTAGCGTTATTAAGATCCTATTGTCTGCCCTTAACAGCTGCCCCTTCACACAGTAACAGCGTGCATGAATCGCAAAGGTCGGGTGCTTGTTTCTGAATGTTTACATTCCAGGAAAGGAGACAGAAGAAAGAAGAAGAACACTTTTCATTAATTAATCCAAGAACTTTATTTGTGATAAAGCTAATCAAAACATATGTTGATCAATAATAATCAGGTGAATGATCTGTGAAATCAAGATGTCATGATTTATGTGTTTAATGAATAAACAGGACTGTGCACCAGACATACTGATCCACAGAACATAAGAACGCATGACACATTGTTCTCATCCAATCAGAGCTTCCGTCTGTTGCAGGGCAGAATCTGGGTTGTTTACGTAAATTGTCCACTCTGATTTGCTAAGATTCATAAACAACTAAGTTAATAAAAACAGAGCAACGCCATTTTAACTTCAGTTCCATCCCAGCTCCAAGGAAGTTCCATCTGAGTTCCAAAGGAGTTACATCATAGACTCAACGTAGTTTCAACCAGCTCTCAAATCATCATCGCTAAAGGAGATTACAGTCTGGCCAGCTGTGTTTTTCTACTTTTAAGCTGAGAACTGTCAAGCTGGGAATTTCTGTCGTTTGAACAACAAGACGACGGTTCCTTCACAATAAAAGCTGAACGTGCTGAGACCTGCCGCTACTGCCGGAGCTATCCGTGGACGGGTTTGTCGTGCTGCAACACTGTTTCATCAGTCCAGTACCAAGGGGGTTCGAGGATATGACACTCCTGATCTGACCGCGGGAGACTCCATAGGTACGTAATCATGGCACAAGATGGCGTTTCATGTCATGAGCTTCTGAAGCCTCGTGCACCCTAGTCATAACATCAGACTACCAGATCCGCCTGCCTCAGCCTAGAGATTCTGAACCCACACACACACACACCAACACTTCAACATTCAAATCCATATGCATCCATCATAGAGTTAGTCCTGGGACATTGTTTGAATTTATAATTATAGAAATTAAAGATCCTTAAACAATCCCAACTCTCTCTTTTCTTGTCTCTAAGTCAATACAAGGTGTTTAAATAAAACTCCCTGAAGGTAAAAACAACCTCTTCTGATTATAATATCTGGACCTAATAACAGTGTAAGAATATACAAACTATATTCCACTACACTGCAAAGTAAACCGAGTCAGTGGTAGAGTCACAATGCGGTTAGCCAATCAGAGGTGAGATGTCCAAATATCAAGAAATAAGACTCCAAATCCTGCCGTCCGAAGTTCTCCTCTGATCTGGACATATTCTAGATCCTGAAACATGTGTAACAGGGCTTTTTGTACCCAGAGTATGACTTACAAGGCATTCATTCCTACTAGAGACCAGTGAAAATGTCGTCGTCGTCGTCGTCTTCCTCCGCTTATCCGGGTCCGGGTCGCGGGGGCAGCATCCCAACTAGGGAGCTCCAGGCCGTCCTCTCCCCGGCCTTGTCCACCAGCTCCTCCGGGAGGACCCCAAGGCGTTCCCGGACCAGATTGGAGATGTAACCTCTCCAACGTGTCCTGGGTCGACCCGGGGGCCTTCTGCCGGCAGGACATGCCCGAAACACCTCCCCGGGGAGGCGTCCAGGAGGCATCCTGACCAGATGCCCAAACCACCTCAACTGGCTCCTTTCGATCCGGAGGAGCAGCGGTTCTACTCCGAGTCCCTCCCGAATGTCCGAGCTCCTCACCCTATCTCTAAGGCTGAGCCCGGCCACCCTACGGAGGAAACTCATTTCGGCCGCTTGTATCCGCGATCTCGTTCTTTCGGTCATTACCCAAAGCTCATGACCATAGGTGAGGATTGGGACGTAGATCGACCGGTAAATCGAGAGCCTGGCTTTCTGGCTCAGCTCCCTCTTCCCCACGACAGATCGGCTCAGCGTCCGCATCACTGCAGACGCCGAACCAATCCGCCTGTCGATCTCCCGATCCCTCCTACCCTCACTCGTGAACAAGACCCCGAGATACTTAAACTCCTCCACTTGAGGTAGGACCTCTCCCCCGACCCGGAGTTGGCAAGCCACCCTTTCCCGGTCGAGAACCATGGTCTCAGATTTGGAGGTGCTGATCCTCATCCCAGCCGCTTCACATTCGGCCGCGAACCTACCCAGCAAGAGCTGAAGGTCAGAGCTGGATGAAGCTAGGAGGACCACATCATCCGCAAAAAGCAGAGACGAGATTCTCCTGCCACCAAACTCGACACACTCCACACCACGGCTGCGTCTAGAAATTCTGTCCATAAAAGTAATGAACAGAACCGGTGACAAAGGGCAGCCCTGGCGGAGTCCAACCCTCACTGGGAACAGGTCCGACTTACTACCGGCTATGCGGACCAAACTCACGCTCCTCTGGTAAAGGGACTGAATGGCCCTTAACAGAAAGCCACCCACCCCATACTCCTGGAGCGTCCCCCACAGGGTGCCCATGGGGACACGGTCATAAGCCTTCTCCAAATCCACAAAACACATGTGGATTGGTTGGGCAAACTCCCATGCCCCCTCCATCACCCTTGCAAGGGTATAGAGCTGGTCCACAGTTCCACGGCCAGGACGAAAACCACATTGCTCCTCCTCTATCTGAGATTCAACTATCGATCGGACCCTCCTCTCCAGTACCTTGGAGTAGACCTTTCCAGGGAGGCTGAGGAGTGTGATCCCCCTATAGTTGGAACACACCCTCAGGTCACCCTTCTTAAAGATGGGGACCACCACCCCGGTCTGCCACTCCCTAGGAACTGCCCCCGATGACCACGCAATGTTGTAGAGACGTGTCAACCATGACAGCCCTACATCATCCATAGCCTTGAGATACCCAGGACGAACCTCATCCGCCCCCGGGGCTCCGCCACTGTGTAGTTGTTTGACTACCTCAGTCAAATGTACTACCAGTGAAAATGTATTAATTAAATTATTGAACCACACCTTTAACACATTTGTTACCACACACACACACACACACACACACACACACACACACACACACACACACACACACACACACACACACACACACACACACACACACACACACACACACACACACACACACACACACACACAGAGGAGGATAACACAAACACAGATTGAATGAAACTATAGCATTGGGGACGTCAGATCTGAGTCTCCCCTCTGTTGTGAACACCATGTCACCAAATGGCAATCTCAAGCTCTTCTATTAAAAAAACAAGAATTCCTGTAAAAACAGTCACAGAGCGCCTAAATTGGTAAACTGATCGGGATTATGTGTCAAACAGAACTTAGTCACCAGACTTAGGTCTGGACAAACCACGGCCTTAGTCAGCATCTTGAACATGTCCCTGTGTTCCTTAACAGATTTTTACCCTATCCCTGTCCTCATAATCCCAAAGGAACATTGCCTCTGAGTCTCCACGCCACAATGAGTCATCAGCTCTTTCTGTGAATCAATCCGGCAGCAGTGTTTCTATATTTAGAGAGAGTCAGGACTGTTTATCTTAAAGAAGAGGGGGGAAATGGTCAAAACAAAACAAAAAACACAAATATGTGATCAGAATTTAATGACACACATAAACAGTCCAACAAAAGTTATCCTTATTCTAAATTAAGCAATGAAATCCACTCTAAAGTCAGAAAAAACAAAGTAAAATTTTGAAAATTTAAGAATCCCAACTCACACACACACACACACACACACACACACACACACACACACACACACACACACACACACACACACACACACACACACACACACACACACACACACACACACACACACACACACACACACACACACACACACACAAATACATATATCTATATTCTAGCCCCATGAGAAATGAGCTGCAGTGGAACACATTTTTCTTGTAGCCTCATGGGAAGCAAACACATTTATTATGCAACATGTAACATGTACTAACACCTGAGATCATTTTAATTTGTTTTTCAACAATTACAGAAATTATATTTTGTGTTAGTTTATAAAATGTATAAAAATGAATTATCTTTAAAAGAAGACCCTCTCTTATCAAATAAACCTCTGTTCTTAAGATTTGGTCAGTCTTTCCCCGTATCTGTGCTAACATATTTCTGTCTTTATAAGATCTCTGTTGTTTTACTTTTTTCCTTTGCATTGGATATTCAGTCTTTTATTTTGAAAATAATCCACTCATGTTTAAAACTTAAAACTCCTTCATTTATCAGTGCCCATTATGGATTTACTGATAAAATTTACTGATAAAAACTTGTAACTTAAACATAAAAATTAAAGTTAAAAACATTTAATGCACATTTTAAATGAACACTAGTAGTCTCGTTTTCCTTATCTTCTTAACATTTTCAACAATAAAACTAGCTGCTATTTTTCGTAGCAAGAGAAAAACTAAACAAGAGTTGTTTATTTTTTTATCCTTACCTTTCTGCCTTTATAACAACAAATTAGATGCAGGGATGTGTGCATGAGGACAAAAACGTGTTGGAACTAAAATTAGACTGCATGTGTTGAAAGGTGTTATGAATGGATGACAGATTTGGAGACACAGGAACACAAACCCTGTTGGCCAGCTCAGGCCAGTCATCAAAACACACTGATGGAGGTGGGCTCCAAGATTTGATGACCCTCCATGGTGTGGTCCATCCCAGGCAACCAGAACTTTAATAAAACCTGGAAATTCTCTCTCAGAGGGTCACCTGATCCATACCACCAAAATGTGGGACAAAGAGGGAGTTTTGGGGGATCGATGTGAAATCATTACAATTCTGACCCTCCAGATGCGACCTACTAACAGTAATGCTACACTTGTGAATGCCACACATGTCCTCTAGTATTGATTGTGAAAATGGTAACAATACATTTGTGCTTAAACACATCAAAATTGGGCAATTTTAGTCTGTGTGTAGAAAACCACAAAATCCACATAATAGGGTGTATAAGTTGGCGGTGCTACCTTCTTATTAATGTTTTGAGTTTTAATTTTCAGGTGCTTATTTTCTAAATGTAGTTACAACAACAACAACAACAACTACTACTACTACTAATACTACTACTACTACTACTAATAATAATAAAAAAAATTCCAGTTGATTTGACTTTTAAAAAGCTGTTTAGAATGATGAACTTAGATCTTTATTGCAAGAATTTCTTTCTGTTTTACTTTGTACATTCCTTTCTTTGTTTTGTTCTCAACTCCGATTACCAATAGTTGCAAAAAGCTTATTGTACCTTACCAAAACCACCATGACGACAAAGGTTGTTTATCCCTGTTATGAGGTGATATTTCCCTCATGTGAAGCCGTTACAGGAAATCATTTTACTTGGCAGCTTTTCTTCTTGCTCGTGCTTTAATTAAACAACAAGCATCAAGAGCTCAAGAAACAATATCACAATGTTTGCTGAGTTCTGTGCTCAAATCAGCAATGTAGATGCTAATTATGTATTTTATGACTATTTCTGTGAAACAATCAGCAGGAGCTCATTTCATGTTACAGTTGATGAGTTTCTGAACGTACGTGTGTGTGTGTGTGTGTGTGTGTGTGTGTGCATGCACGTGATCGCCCTAATTACGCCTCGTGGTTTGCTTGCAGGATTTTGTCATGTCATTGTTTTACTTGTAAATCCTTTTGATTGGTTGGGGATTTGGAGACCATCAGCACTGGCTCATCCCTGCACCCATGTCACATCTGTATAAGGGTTTGGATCAATTTTATATAAACTGGGAATCACAATAACAGAACAATCAATGAATTACAGCAGTAGCCACTGATTCCACAGTTAAAATTATTGTTAGGAAACATGATGGGGGACAGTTAAAGGGGGAATGTGTATTATTTGTACTGATGAAAACATCAACTCAAATACAAAATGAAATCTGGAATTCTGTTTTTTAAGTTGCTTATTATCTGTAGTTATACAATTTAAGCAGATCTATTTATAACAAATAGCATTGACTAAAAATAGACACAAAAACAAAAATACCAGAAATGCATTCTGGTGGAAAAAACTGGTGATCAGCTCTGACAGGATGCAGGAGACAAGGCTGGACGTAACATCAGCACAGGAGTTTGGTTATTATCCAGGCAGATTACAATAATTATAAATCACATATTTATACAATTTGTACATGTAGAGGCCTCTTGGCAGCCTCCAAAACAAATATGTGGACACAAAGTTCATGGTTTTTAACTTTTTCACCATCTTGTTGCTGTTTTTCTTGGATAATGACAAAAGAAATGCAGATCATGCCATACATTTGGTCTAAAATGTGTAATTACACAATAAGTTTCCCGATATTTGCCAGATTACCGTAACAGCTCTGGCAGAGTAAATCTATAAACAAATGCTTTGCAGCAGCGTGCTCCTGTAGGAATTCCTCAGTGTTGCTGAATTCTTCTCGGGAGCCACTTCAGCAGGGTCGTGCACAGCTTTTTGCTTTTCAACTTTGTCTTTGTTAAGTTCTTAACAACAATGTTTTTGAGTAAGCGGAAGTCCAAGGGCTGAGTCAGACGTGCAGAGAAAGCGCTGGTGTTGCCTCCTGCTGAACGATTCAGAACCTCCAAGAAGTGTCGCTCCTGCTGTCTGAAGTCATATTCAACACTGGAAAGACGGGAAATCAGCCATGTTTGAATTTTCTCATGATATCCCAATAAAAGCTCAGAAGTGTCAGATTTACGTTTCCTGATCATTCTCATGCCACACGCAATTATTGTGATGCTTCGTTCTCTTTTCCTTGTGTGGGCCTCATCATCTTAGAAGCGTTGTGCTTGTCAGACTCTTCATAAAATAATAGCTGACTACTTTGGACAGAAAAACAAGTTCCCATCACATCATCTCTTCTTTTCCAAAAGCATGAAAACCCAATCTGAATTTATTTATCTGCATCGTTCTGCTTGTCTTTTCAACATTCAAAAGCAGTTGTGAAAGAATGCAGATCAAGAGAAATGCTTTAAATATTTCAAGACAAGGACAGTTTTAGGTTATTTTATACAACACCACGTTTTATAGTCAGAAAGATGATTTGCATACTTTTTGATTTCTCAGCCTTTCTTTGGCTCTTTGCTGCTGCCTAAACTTCAGAGGCAATTGTTGTGGTTTTAACGGGGCTTTTTTTGTGCCGCTTCCACCTGATGCAACATTTCAGCAAACGTGTGCAAACCAAGACAAGGTACAGCTACAGGGACAAGGGATTCACATCTGCAACACAAAAATCGACAAGATCCTACTAGAACACCTCAGTCTCAAAACTCTTAATTTGGTGATTTGGTTTTGAGGGTTTCACTAAAATCTGATTAACACGCACATAAAACGTCCCTTTCAGCATTGGGCTGTTCAAAAAGAATGCCACTAATATTGCTAATTTTTAAAACATGTATTTACAAAATGGCCAGTCTGGAGCCAATCTAAAAGGAGACATATTATGATTAAAAAATATTAATAGCTCTATGGCTAACACAAAACATTTTCATGATGTTATTTACACTAAATCCCTCTTACATGAAGCCTTTTATTCTTCACAGTTTCAGTATCTTCCAGAATGAACCGTTTCAGGGCTCTGTCACTTTAAGAAAACAAGCTGTTTCTGATCACACCCACCCCTCCCCCGATGAAGCTGCTGTAAGCTGAGAAGCACCAAAAATTAGGAGGGGCTTGGAGTAGTGCTGCTGCTGCTCCAGCCTACAGAAGTCAGAGGGGTTCTACACAAAGGAAATCAAACACTGACAGAAAACGGACATTTATTTATTTATTTTTACATTTGAAGTGTTTATAGAGGCAGCAGAAACCCATATGACAGCACAAAAGGATGCAAAAGGGGACTTTTGCACAATTTGTCCCCTTTAATTTAGCTTTTATGAAATGAATGTAAGATCGTGTAATATAAAAGTTATTTAGCAATAGAAAACCAAGGATATTCTATTTGTTTCTGAGTTTTTTTTTAAAAATATAAACTGCTAAACGTGATCAAAAATACGGATTTAGGCATCATGAGCTTTCCTTTTGAATTTTTCAACATTTTCTTAAATCCATAAACTTAACCAGTAAAAAGGCTGTGCCATTATGCAGCGTAAGTTTAGATATTTGACAAAATCATTGATCTGTTGTGATTCTCTTGTTTTCTGAGCTAGAAACAGCCAACAGCTGTTTAAGATGTTTAAAGAGTGAGTCAGCTATTTCCAAATAAGTTAAATAAACAAGCACTAGTCAATCACATGGTCAGATGACTGATTCCACACCACATTCATACCCCTTCACACATCTGGCCTCTGATTTGACTGTCTTTGATCCAAAGCAATGTGTGTCTTAGTCTTGGAGTGAAATTGGATGCCGACTTCACAATGACCCTCAGATACATTTGGTTCAACCCACTTAAAACCAATACTAAAGCGAAGACACATGGAGACAGCCACCCATGCTTTGGTGCTTCTGTTTCGGCCTTGAACTGACTGCAGGTAGTTAAGAATGCTACTGCTAAGTTCTTGACAATCACAAGCCGAAACAGTCATATTACTCCAGTCCTGACGCATCTTCACTGGTTTCTAGTGTAGGTGTGAGGTTCGAGCTATTGACTTTTGTATTCAAGGCTCTGATTGACCTAAAAATAAAACTATATGGTATGTTATAATAAAATCTAAATGGGGGAAAAAAAACATTCCTATTTTAAAACTGAATCCACCCGATGAGTTAATTCTTGCCTTTATTCTGAATTTATCAAATTAAGATTCCTTCATGCGAAAAAACTTGTGATTAATTAAATACCGCAATTAATTAAATTATTAATCTGTCATATTCTAAAATGTTGTTTTCAAGCATTACCGTGAGACTGATCCGTATTTTTTCCAAACATGTCCTCTCAAGAGTCATTGTCTCACCTGTACACAACACAAGCAGTCTTCTGGCAGGTGGAGCAGTTTTTGAGGTCGAGTCCAGTTTTGCAGCATCTTTGACTACGAGAAACAAAATTAAAAAAAACAATCATTGAAATTATCATCCCTTCCCCTTTTCCTTTCCTTCTGAATAGATTCAGAATACGCAGCAATGAGCTGTCCGCCATGCATTATGCTAGACTTCTACTGCTGATCAAGAAGCTGTTTATTCTAAAAGATGACCTCAGAAAGAGTCACAGCTGATTAGTGAGAGTGATGGAGGCGCGCTGCCAGGAGGTCGGTTTAATTCCTGTGAATTTTCCCAGCAGAGCTGTGTGGCTAATAAAATCTCTGTGAGACGTGCCCGCTTGGATTGCCCAAGTAGGTTTCTGTCACATGCAGACACACCATCGCTGACCTGTTTACAAACTTTGAACAAAGAGGAAGGTTCACTTCGCCCTAATGAGAATGAGAACGGGGAATTATCGTGCAGTCAGCCAGTTGTATTTATTATGTGACCTGTTGGACTGTGGTGCACACAGCAGCTGACACACACTGTGTCTTTTTACTGTAAAACATGTCATGAGTAGTTCAGTTTTAATGATGTTTAACAAGATAACATTTGAGCAAATTCCAACTAAACTCTAAATTTACAGATAAAAATATATTTCTTCCTCTTGCTGCATTTATATTCGTTTTGGGATCAAACAAATCACTGAAATATAAGTGAAATACTTCAGCTATCATTTAGAAAAAAGCAAGAAATATCAGATTTTATTTTTGCTGATTAAAAACGTTCCATCAATTAAAGGTTTAACATTGATTGAAGGAATTCTTACTTTTTAAAAAACTTTCTGCTAAGTTCTTTTTATTTTTATGTCATTTTGACAAGTAAACATTTCTAAACATCAAATGCGGAGTAAAATCATGTTAAAAACGTACATTTTTCAGCAAAAAGGGTCACCAAACAGAGGTCATTTGAAAATGACCTAGGAACAATCAATGGCTAATCCAGTCCTTCCAAATGTTACAGTACACAGATCCTAACTGAACTGAATAGACTTTCCTTTAAAAACAAACATAAACACACACATGCACATACAATTATAAACACACATATACTCATCTGTGTAGCTATGCATGCATACACATACCACCACAGATGTCGTTGTACCAAAACATACATTACTACAACTGCTCACAGTCTAAAGCAACTGGTAATTTAAATCATTTGAATCAGTTAGTCTAACTCATTTTCATTCCGTTCTGATTTTAATCAGAAGCGTTCATTATCAGAAACACAAAGACTATGAAACACTGACTTACTGGCTGCTGGGAGTGCTGACCCTCTCCAGGTCGTGGATAATGTTCAGCAGAGTGGCGATCCTGTCCTTGTTGGCTGCCAGGCTGGCCTCCACAGCCTTGAGCCTTTGCTCCAGTGCCTCTGATCTGCAGGGCTGTGGGGACGAAGGTAGCGCTGGTGCAGCCTTGGCTGGGTGGGAGTGAGCCAGTCTTCTGTCCACTGAGAACAACTCAGAATCGCATGGGTTACACTTTGAATCTAGTTTTCTGTTTGCCTCCACCTCACTGGACCGGATTTGAGGACTGGACACTAGGAGCATCGTAAATGAAGGCAGTGTGGACTCACATTCAAGGCCCCTGTTTGCACCGAGCTCGCCTTCGCTGCTGAATGATGCTGGAACTCTGACGGAACATTCTGGACTTGTGTGTGTTTGTTTTTGTAATGCAATATCTAAATTGAAGTTCTGGAAAGCTGGAGAGGAGGTGATGGGTCTCATTTGCGCGTTCGAGACGATGGGTTCACAGTTAGTTTGTGTTGGGACTGAGGGCGAAATGTAGCTGGTCTGTCTATCTGCATTGGGCTTAAGCTGACTGTGTGCATGGCTGGCTGTTGCACCCTGGGGAAACTGTTGAGTGTTTGAATCTGTATTCACTGGTGGGCTCGTTGCGCAACGTCCCTCATCCTTTGTCTCCGTGTATCCTTGATAACCCGTAAATCTTTGTTGTTCCGTGTTCAGACAACCCTGCAGACATGAGCTGCTCGACTTAATTATGGAAACGTAATTCTGAGTGTTACAGCCTCGTGAGCGAATTGACTTTTCATGGTCCTTAGACTCATTTATAAGTAATTCACTGGGCGTGAAGGTTGATTGTTTGTTACTGTTCTTCAGATTTTCTGACACACTTTGACACTCAGACGTCGTTCTGGAGCTGCTCTCCTGATTGGGAGTGACATCCAGAGCTGTAGGTTCATTACTCTCTTGATGTCTTGTATTCACTGCTTGTGTGTGATGAGCTCTGCTTGAGTCGGGGGCTTCATTACAGCCAAACACCTTTTTTATGCTCGCCAACTGAAGCGAGCTCGTGCTGGATATGGTGACATTGTTTTGTTTTTCTGTGAGTGGAGATAGCAGAGAGCCGGCTGTCTTCTCCAAACAAACCTTAATGTTCCTGCATGCAACGTTTTTGTGAAGTGCATCGGGATACATAACGGTAAAAGCAGCAGGTAACTCAGCTCTGGAGTCCAGAGGTTTGGATGCATGAGATGCTTTGTGCAGAGAAGATGCAGACATATTAATGTTAGGCTCAGAGGTTGAAGACTGCGGGTGGGTTGAGTGGCTTTGCAAAGCAACAGATTTATGTTTAGTGCTTGTAATCTGATCTGGATCAGCTTTATGATTCAAAGTGTTCTGTGAGCCAGCATCACTAGAATGTGGCTCAGCTGTGTGTGGTGTTTTAGTGAAAGCAAGGAAGTGAGCCTGGCGTATTTCTGCGTCTGTAGAGGCTCCTTCACCTGGCGTTGAACTGACCCTGCTTGAGAGGAGCATATGTGGTGGAATAGCAGGTGCGTGGTGTGCAGGATGATCTGATTTGAAAACACGATTAGTTAATGTGATGCATTTAGGAGCCATCTGCAAGCTATTAGTAGCATTTGTTTGGTTGCTAATTTGTTTTTCTTGTTCAGTGTTCAGATTACAGTCAGAGGGCATCACTTCTGGATTAAAGGTTGGGTTCTTTGTACAGGATGTAGTTCCTGACCTCATGGCTACGGTATAAGCTGGTGAACTCTGTACATTGTTTGGTGTAGCATGCACAGAAACACAAATATCTTGAGGACTGTTATCGCGGACCGATCTGAGGTGTGCGGTCTTGAGGAGCTTAGGGTGTGAAAGTGGACTCTTTGACATTTGTGGAGTCCAGTTTAGAATAGTGTTCTGTTGCGTTTCAGGGAGAGGTTCTATCGTAGCTTTTGCTACAGCAGTAGCGTTTGCCTGTGGAGAAGTTGCAGGTTGGATGGATTTTTCATCACTGGCCCCATGTGGATGAGACAGAGTCATAATGTTTCCTCTGGAGTGCACCGGGCAAGCAGGGTGAGGGATGTTTCTATATCTCAGCTCTTCATTTAGGTAAAACATTCTCGGATTACCTGCGATTTGAGCCTTTTTATCTGTGGTGCTTTGATAAATTAGCTGTTCTTGTTGGAGTTTTGCACTCATATGTGAAACCTGGAGCTGCCTGCTGGTTGAGACTGAGGTAAGTCCTGGCTCTGACGGTTTTTCTGGAAGGTGCGTGTTTTTGCTTTGTGTGGATTTCCTTCCACCACAGAGGTTGCACATCTTCTGTGGCGCAGCTAAAGCTTGGCCGACGGATAACGGCACCGTCTTCCCTGACTGATCTGTTTTTTGAAGGCGCAGGTCTGATTCAGCCTCAGCCTCATCGTTGACCACGCTTATGCCACCAATCGCCTCTGAGTCAACCACACTGCCGTTCATGTAGCGAGATGCATTTTTCGGTTTAGTCCTGCTGCCGGTGACACTCCCCGCGATGAGTGGGTTGGTCCTAATTGCTGTAGCATAACCGTAAATCCCACCTTCCTTTGAGGTGTCACCTCCAAGTGCTTTGAAAGTCACTTCCTTTTTGATCTTAGTTTCTCCAGATTTATGTCTTAAAATAGCCCCCTTCTCATTGTTATTCTTTGTTAGCGGTGATGTAACCTCAGTTTCTTTGGCAATGCCGCTGTTGGATGTTTGGGTAATGTTGTCTGAGGGGGTGTTAGGTAGCTGGGCAGGTGGTCTGCTAATCCCAGGGGACGTCTGAATGCCAACGCTGCACTGCCCCCATGTCTGCAGCGGAACTCCACCTCTGTCTCCTCCTGTTGTTTTCCAACCACCGACTGAGGCGGGGACTCCTAAAACCGGAACCGGAGTGGCCGGGTCAGCCGCTCGTCTCCCCATCCTCTTGTCTCACCAACTCAGAGGTCTGATGAGTGAAGAGAGCGGCAGCGTTTCCACACCATTACATCTGTCTGAAACCAAGAGAGGGACAAGTTTACAGTGACAGGGCGTTTGAGATGGAAACCCGTGAGTTTGCTGAAATGATGCACGGAGTGAGACCTGAGACAAAAAACTACTTCAGTGCTGCAGAAACGTCAACCAAGTGATGCATTTAGTTTGCAGCTTCCACAGCAAATACATCTGATAAAAGATTCAATTAAAAAGTAAGTATTTGAAGAAAGCAGGTTGTTTCAATATAAACAGGTACTCTGAATCCTAAATAATCAGACACAGAAAATACCCAATTTCACGACTAAACTTCCAAATAAGCTTCCTTTTATTTTAGTCCTTGTGGGAAAACAGTACATTCACTGATATGACAATAATTACATTCTGTGTGCACTGAAGAGGAATACTTTCATTTGACTAATTGCATTAGTGCCACTCTTTGATCTTTTTGTTAAACTTTACATAATATCATCATGCACCAAGATACAATGAAGTGAATATTATGATTTTTTAACAAAACAAAAAGCCCCTCAGCCCAAAAATAAACACATGTCCATTTCCATTAGTAATTTGTGACCTTTTATGCAAACTAACACTCAGAATCAGACACTCCTAAACTCATAAAGGATGGTTTTTTTGGTTGTTGCATTACTTCAGCGCAGGTCAAGTGACCCATGTCCGTTAACACTGTGTAACAACAAGTGACAACTGTCAAGCCCTGTTAAGACATCATTAAATCCTCTTTTGAGGGGTTTAATAAAACACGTCCTTGAAAAGCTACACTCGTTCATAATGAAAAGCAGCGCACTGAGAAAAACACATGGAATTGATTCTGTTCAGGCTTACCTGACTGATTCTCTGATCCAGTTGGAAGATGACTGGTTTTCCTCACTCCAAGATTTTATTCATTGTCAAGATGTATAAAGACTTTTTCCTCATCCTGTAAATCACATGACTGCATATTCAAACTCCAAAGAGTCTGCAGACAACAAGCCCTGCAAAGCAGCGCTTCTTCATCACTCACAGGCTGAAGTTGTCTATCTGCCATTGATCCATCAAGCAGCTTAAGCTGGGTGATCTCTGGTTCTGCTGCTTCAGCCTCACTCCATTATCAGAACGCAGCAAACTGCTCCGGTGGGCTGCCAACACACTGTGTCTTGCCTTTTGTCTCACTCTCCCTTCTCTCGCTTCCTTCCTCTCACCCCTCCTTTCAGCCACTGTCCTCCTTCCCAGCATGCATGTGTCCTGATATATGGCTGGTAAAGAGCAGGCAGGGAGAGAGGCAGTGACTTACAACAGTGGGGAAGGGACCGTCTGTAAATTACTGTGTAATTTAGTAAAAGCAGGATTCATATATGTCCCCCTCTCATAAAAAAGAGGGAAAAAAACTGAAACATTTATTTTCTGATATTTGAACATCTTGCCTCTGATTGGCCAAAAGCAACACAACTCCACCACTGTCTACATTTTCTCTGCAACGTTGATGTTTTACCTCCACAAATAACACAATCCAGAAGGAGTTCTGCTGTGCGGGGGATCTGCTGATGCTAACGGTTAGCTTCTTCTAGCCGAGATGTTCTCTGCTGTTTCCTGGACGCTAAACCAACAACAATCTCCCCAGAGTCAAGATGGGTGAGTCCATGAATGTTAAGTGACAGTGTGACATAGATCTGTCAGGCTTTTCTAATCCTAGAGTATACATACATACACACACACACACACACACACACACACACACACACACACACACATATATATATATATATATATATATATATATATATTCTGCTGACAGGATCACACTCCTGAGCCTCCCTGGTAAAGTTTTTTCCGGGATTCCGGAGAGAAGGGTCAGTCAGATCGTCGAACTTCGGATTCAGGAGGAGCAATGTGGTTTTCGTCCTGGCCGTGGAACACTGGACCAGCTCTATACCCTTAGGGGGTCCTGGAGGGTGCGTAGGAATTTGCCCAACCAATCTACATGTGTTTTGTGGATTTGGAAAAGGCGTTCGACCACGTCCCTCGGGGGTCCGTGTGGGGGGTACTCTGGGAGTATGAAGTACCAGACCCTTTGATACCGCATTGCTTTGCCAGCAGTAAGTCAAGCTAATTTACGGTGAGAGTTGGACGCCATCAAGGCTGCCCGTTGCCACCGATTCTGTTAATAACTTTTATGGACATGATTTCTAGAGTTACTTTAAATTCTGAATGATTAAGAATGATTTTGTATGATGTCCACTAAGAGACACATGGCTAGAGAAACCATTCATACAATGGTTAAATTGTCTCAGGGTGAAAAATAACAAAACAACTAATAACAAAATATGCTTCACTGAAATTATTTAACTGAAAACATGCCAATGCGGAAACATTTAAAATGCTACTAGCTGAGATTTTCCTCATCCTTATTCTTTAATAAAATTGATCTTTGGTGTTTTCCTCCAAATTTGAGAGGGGATGTTGTTCAGTCAGGTTTTAGTCTGAATGTCATCAGAAGGTGTCACTGTTGGAGAACTGAAACAAGATGCTATAGGAGAAACGTTTCCTGCACATGACTTGAGACTGAAGACAGATGGAGCTCACGCTGCAGACGCCAACATCCTTTATTAACAACAGCAGTGGGATAGGAAGCAGGAGATCAAATGCTTTCTTTTATTGACATTTCTGTGTCAGTCTGATTTTCTTGTAAACAATTATCACTCACATCACTTGCTTTCCTTCTCTGGACGTCAAAACTAATTTCAGCCGCTGAATGTGTGAACAAATTATATTTTAGTCGTATTAAAAAATAAGTTCTCTTGGTAATGTTAGATTTTTTCATTCTGGTTTTAAAGACAAGGGGTATTTGGGAATTTACAGTTATATGAAAACTCATGCAAATGTGCACAGATTTAATGCTTTCTATGCATCATCAGAACAGTTCCCATGAGGACAGCGGGATTTAACTGTACTGTTTTCAGACAGTGCAACAAAAGAAGCACTGTAACTGCAGGGTGGTCACCCTGGGGCATTCCTCTGCTTTTCTCTAGAATGGAAGGGAGGTTACTGAGATCCCCTCTGTGTCAAGTGGAGTATTGTAGCAAAAGCCCTAAAGCTCCACTTGTGAAAGTAATTCTGTTAGGCTTCATTTTGGCATTCTGACAACATCGCGGGGAGTCAAAGTAAAACCTCCACCTCTGTTCCACATTCAGTCTCAACATCTGCTCACCTCAGGGGTGTGTATTAAGTCCTCTACTTTACACTTTCCACACACATTACTGCATCTCTGTTGTGTTCTGTAACCACTAGGTGTCAGTAATGTCTTGTGTAGACGCAGAAGAAGAAGATGATATTCGTTGGCGACATATGACTGCACTTTTCCAAGCTGAGCTAATAATAGAGGCGCTGCCTGCTCATTTCAACTACAACACAGCAAGTGGCGACGAGGTTCTAGATGACATGTTTGCTGCTGCACCAACTCTTCCTCCTTTTCTACCATGCCTGGGTAAAGCTTAATTTATACTTCTCCGTCTGCGTCGGGACGGGCGCACACAATGCCATTATCCGTCCTTGCGAGCCTGCTGGAGAGCCATCGCAAGGACGAACAAATTCGAGCTGTCTTTTCTAAACATTCGCTCATCAAGATGGAGAACGCAAGCTTGTGATTGGTCAGGACTTCGCTGTCGTCTGCAGCATCGCTATTGCGCCCCCAAAAACATAAAGAGAGTCGAGGACATCTAGCGGCAGACGCGTAGAAGCTTGAAGAATACCTCGCGGAAAAACTCTAAAAATGTAAAAGTTTTATTCCCCCTAAGCTGTAGGAGTGAAAAGATGCACAACAAGCATTTTATTCGTGGATGGAAATTATGTGAAACGTGGGTTTAGCGGTGGCGAGTGCATGAAGAGGTGGAGGAGAATGAGGGACAAATTTGCCCATGTTAAAAAGTCTCTTAAATACAACAAAAACCCACACAAAATAAACACACTACCTTGGACGGGATACATAACAGGATACCACAGAACAGCACTACGCCCTCTGTTGTCTTGGTGGGGAATTGCTTTGCAACACTCCCCAGGAGACGAAGTATGAGGGCAAATTATATCAGTCTGTGCGTGTCTCTCCCTCGTGGAGCTGACGGAGAAGTATAAATTAAACTTAAGCCTAGCATAGCATACCTCTAGATATGTGGGAGAGAAGGTTCCGGAATTACCTACTGGTGCTTGTTGTGTTGGCAGACGATTCAGACAGCTCTTGTTGCAGATGTAAAGCTTACTACAGGCAGTTCCAGAAAGTACACCATAGAACTCCACCTGACCCTGCTGTACAGGGTTCTGCTGCTCCAGCTCCAGCTCCAGCTCTTTCCCATTCCCGTTACTGCTGTAACACGGGTGAATGTGGCAAACAGCCCAAAATGCCAGGCTGCTGCAGCAAGACGTGTGTCTATGTGCCCATGTGTGTTGCTCAACTCAAACCAGCTCTGTTAATGCTGTGAAGTTACTTGAGGTACTGGGCTGTCTTCCTGCCATCGTGTCACATGACACTGCATGTTTCTCTACTACGCTGTTTGTTGTGGACTGGCGTCTCCTCACTGGGCAAGGTTCTCATCTAAGGACTACTGCCTACTACAGTTTCACCTGATGCTTCACATTATGGCTTAGATGCTCTTCTCACCCAAGTTCATGGTGACACAGGCTGTGGTTGCATTCCCCTCTAGGACCATGCCCACTGTGGAGCGTAAATACTCCACCATTGAAAAAGCCCTTGGATGTGTAAGGGCTTTTGAACGCTAGCAATTTTTTTAAATTAATTCATTTTTTTGTGGGGCCGTAAGTCCACACTGGGCAAAGATCACCAGGTTGTAACCACATAATTCACTTCAAAGGGTACTGATAGTAAGGCATGTTGCATGTTATGAGTTGTCCACCTGCTATGATTTAAAGAGCATCACTGAGAAACATTTTTTTACTTAACATTTTTGAAAATTATCAGTGACTCTGAAGAACATGCAGACTGAACATGATAACAGTCTTCTACTCATACACCAGTTTCCCGCATTAGCTTCTGATAGAAAATAAATGTCATAATGTTCAGTTCAGAAAAGCCTGACATATCTACATCATGCTGCCGCTTAACGTTCATGGACTTGCCTATCTTGACTCACAATACTTTTGATTGAATTTCCAGGAAGGAGCAGCACATGCCTTGATTAGTACAGGATAACAGTTAGCATTAGCTACTCCACATCACAGCAGAATTCCTTCAAGCTTGTTTTATTTGCGGATATGAAATATCATCGTTATAAAGCAGAGTAAATGGTAGAGCCCAGTTGTTAGCCAATCAGAGACAAAATGTCCAAATATCAAGTTTAATTTGTCTTTAGAGTTTTAGTATTTTTTTTTTATTTATTTACATTTTTTTGTGGGTTTTTTTCCCCAGCTAGTTGTAATTTATGTATGTAGGTGTGCATATATATATATATATATATATATATATATATATATATATATATATATATATATATATATATATACATACATACATATATATATATATATATATATATATATATATATATATATATATATATATATATATATATATATATATATCCTGTTACAACTAATCACCTCAGGGGGGCACTACAGGGCAGTAAAAGCTAAAACAAGTAGACTGAAAAACAGCAATCATCCCAGGGCTGTTACAATGCTAAATGAGCACTTCATTCAATAACATGCGCAGTAATTGCTTTGTGCAATAAATACTCTTGAGCTGTTAAACCGCAGTGCAATAAAAACAAATAAAAAAACAGACACATGCTTTTTACACATGCAGATGAAGATATACACCTCTTTCTACCAGATGTTTTTCCTTTTGTCATTTTTAAAAATAATTAGATTTGTGCAGTGCACCAACACTTTGTCACAACACAGTGTAAGATATTTAAGAAAAAAAGCTTTATTAGTGACTTCTTAACAAAACACGTTACCAGATCCATGAAATCATAGGAATCACTATTATCACCTTAACAATGATAAGCAGGTGTACAAAAAAGTCATGAACAGATCTGTACGGCCACAGTCGCCGGGTACACGCCTCAGTCTGCCTCTGTACCCAGTGACTGAGGGACATTCACTATACACAAGCAGAGAATACATCAACTTCGTTTTTTTTATGACTGTTTTGGTGTTTTTATATTTTTTTTCCCTTTTTCATTTATTTTTTTTCCTACAGAGCAACAACCAGATATGGAGGATGAACAGATGACTCTATTTCACATTGGTGTTTGATTGATCATTACAAAGCTCAACACAAGTTTAAGGATTGATCTTCTTATCTATGAAAATCATACGGGTAAAAACATGAAAAAAGGCCTTTCATAGCATAACACAATAGCATTATGTATATGTAGAAGATTGAAGTCATTTTCAACAGGATAAAAATGTGTTTCGTTTAGTTTTTTTCCACAGTTTACTGTTATCAACAGTGTATCTTCATGTGTTGTATGTACTCATTTATGGTTGAATGTGAGTCTGTTTTCTTGGCGATGTGTATTAGAGGTATATGCATTTCAATACACATTTCCCAGTGGAAAAAACGTATCTATGTATATATATATTTATTTATATATATATATTATCTATATAAAATCTGTTTCCTTTGCTTATAACATGCAAACAGTCACTTGGTGATCTGACAGCACAGAAGTACACCTGCAGGAAGAGGCAGGGGGTAGGAGTCAGGTCAGTGGAAAGGACTGAGATGAGCACCTACAAACGTCGACGGGGACTGGAAATACAAAGGGTTAAAATCAAAGAACACTGAGGTGAGATGTCATGACATGACATGGTATAATAAAGCTCCTCCAGTATTTACTACTCCCATGACTTGTTTGATTCTCGCATGACTAATATTCACATTTTGATCGACTTTCATGTCTGGAAGGGCTATTTCTAGCAGCCATGTTTCAGCACCAAACAACGTTATTACCATTCACAATTTATTTGTAAGGTTTAGCCATGAGTGCTGGTTAATCTTTCCGTGTTGTTTCTAAGAACTGTTGCTCAATAACATATTTACCCTTGTTGACATCCCACTGTGAATTTAATCATTTTTCCAAATGTAGCTGAACTTAGTTTTACTTGTTTTGGTAACTGGTGTCATTTCGGTCACTTCTCACCGACATCAGACGTGAAAACAACTTCCCTACCTTTCCTAATTTACTTTTCCACCTTTTCCCCATCTATTGACACTGGACCAACTATCATCTATCTCATTTTTCTGTTCTATATTCTATCTAAAGGGTGGGCGATAGGACAGTATTTAATCATAAAAGGTGAATTTGTAGAATGCTTAGTAGGACATATTCTTCTTTCTGTCCTGTTTATGGACTGTTTTAATCAGAAAAAAACATTTAAATAAATCTTTTTAACAACATCCTTTAACTACTGACTGTGGTAATGTTTTAGTAATACTGGCACTGGTTTGCACATTATGTCACAGACTTACTAATAAATGTTAATTATTTTAAGGTTGTTTAATGTTTCATGTGAGTGAAGGCTGTTGATGCCTAGTTAATCACCCTCAGTGCTATTTTCAGCCCTTTTAAATGGTATTGTTAGGGAGGAACACTGTAAAACTCTGGTACTAAATTTAGTTTGACCTAAAATATCTGTTATAATTTTTTTTAAGGGCAGTTTTAAGGGCATTAATGTGATTACATTGTTCGATAACCTAAAAAAGTACAAGATTTTTTTGTATATGAAAAATTTGCCAAATCGCCCACCCCTACACCATTTTATCACATCATATCTAGCACAGTCTGACTGGCTGCTAACTTGTCAAGCGTCCCCACAATGCCAAGCGAGGGACAACAGAGCTGTCAACGATGAGCAGTCAGAGTAGACACGCTGGCAGAAGCAACTAAGCTCAGTTTGATCTGAACTTTACTCTAAAAAAGATGTTTATGTCTGCTTTATGTGTATTTTAGTTTCATCCTCTCTCTCTTTTTGTGTGTGTGTTTATTCTGTGCATGTAAATATATGAATATACACAAAAGTCACTGAGTTACAACTGCACAGTTCACTGAAGGAGAGTGACTTTAAAGACGCCATCCAACCATGTTGATTTGAGGAAACAGGAGTAGAGAGGGAGGAAACAGGCAGCAGGGGCAAGCAAATCCTACAAGCACTGAAGCAGTCGAGGCAGTGGTGCAGAGCTTGAAGAACAACTACTTAACATTCAAAGACAGAAGAGGAGGGATCAGGCTTGAACAGAAATGAAGCGGCAAGCAACGTTCCTGCATCTCAGCCATATAATACACTCCCATATTAAGCACTAGCCTTCAGCTTTCCACACAGAAGGGTGCAGTTTAAATTTGGTTGTTGATTTGCATTGTAGGAAACAATGTAGGTGTGTGTTTGCTCCTTTTAAGTACGAGTACAAGGCATAGAGAGCCAGTGTTTGATTGCAGTGTGTGTGTGTGTGTGTGTGTGTGTGTGTGTGTGTGTGTGTGTGTGTGTGTGTGTGTGTGTGTGTGATGGATGTGCTGATACACAGATCATATTGACTGATGATTTGGTCAAAGAAGCAGGGTCGGGGGCAGTTGCATCAGCTGCACGTAGGTTCCCCAGCCACATCCGAAATCGCCACCGATTCCAATTGACTTGAAATTACAAGCGATACCAGCACAAAAATCAGTTAGAGCGTAGCCTTGGGTAAACAATTATTTAAGCAAGCAATAAAGCAAGTGCAAATGATACAGTCACAAAACTGCACTCACCAACAGTTAAGCGCAACTTATTTTTCCCTATATATGCACACTTTTTCTTTTCATTTCCATTCTGTTTGACTCTTGAAGCACCTTAGAAAAAACTATTTATTCTTCTGTCCATTTTCTACACATTACATTTCAGTGGTTATAAAATGTGGGCCACAAAACTCTAAGTTAGGGGTCTTTAAAGTATTTCCAGAACTAAAACTGAAAAATATCACTAAAAGTGATGCAAAAGCTAAAGAACATCCAAAGGGGTTCAAATGAATGCAGCTGGACTTCTTTGGTTTCTTGAAAACATTTCGCTTCACATCCGAGGAGCTTCGCAATTCTGACAAAAGGAAAATTTTTCAAAATTCTGAGAAGGAAAATGGGAGAATCAAGCGTATAAAATGTCTCTGTCAATTGTTGTTTAATGTGCAGAAACTATCTATGAACACCTCTCCTCCCTACCTCTATGTGTCCCTGCATCTAATCAACACAACAATTCCCTCATTATAGAGACTAATGACCCCGACGACTCATCAGAAGTTAAGGAGGGGAGGTATTCATAGGTATTTCTGCTCATTAAGTGAAAATAAACAGCAACAGTTTAGAAGCTTGGCCCTCACATATTCAAGCTAGAATTGAAAATCTGCTGCAATGCGAAGTGAAACGTCTTCAAGAAACCAAAAAAGTGCAGTTGCCTTCATTAGAACCCCTTTGAATTACCATGAACTGGATGACGGAGAACCTTCACCAGCAAAAAGTAACAGTCATAAAAGTATATAAGTAGTATTTTATTAGGTTTCTGTGTGAGCTCTTGTCTATTGTTATTTTGTTGCTAAAATGTCTGGGAACCACTGTTTCATACTACAGCTGTCAAATGTTATTTGAATATTTTTAAAGTGTTTTTCTTTTTATAATAATAAAAAATATGGTTCCCATTTAGTTATATGACATGACAGTTAATAGTCTGAAAATGCTGTCCCTGAATTTTCACATCTGGATTAAAATTGGATACAGATGTGATGTAAACATGCAGTATAAAAACCAAATGCATCCTTCTAGGACCTTTCAGTTTCCTGTGATGTATTGTTTTTGTACAACCTACAAATCTAGACAAACCCTAGCAGCAGCAACACATTTTGCTCTGCAGGTTGGTGTAGCCACGCTCCATTGTAGCCTCAGCAGGTCCACCAGCGGCTCTGTGAAGTGTTGATCTGGCAAATTGCAATGCTCTACATTTGGAGAGTGATGTCGGGCGGGGTTAGCACCATTACGGCAGAGCTGTGATGGAGCAGAACAACAACAATGGCGCAGGAACAGCGCTCATTTCCATAGAATGGCATCAATTTTGGACGATTTACACTTGGCCTTTCCTCAGAGACCTGATCAGATAGCTATACTTCTTCAAAGGTCTATGGCTGCCTCATTGACTGATGTCCGTAGTAATGAATACGTCACATTGTTTGTTGTTGTGATTGGTCCTAATACTGTTCAATCGCGTGCAGAGACGGTTCGAAAGATAACCACAGACTCCGCCCCTATGACTGAGCACTGTCTATAGGTTGGGGTAAGACTATTTATATACATATAGTTGAAGGATGGCTTGCCAGGCTAGCTTTTCTGTGTTCTTTACAAAAAAAGAAATAAAAAATAAAGAAATAAATACAATAAATATCCCCAAATCACAGTGGTTACTTATAAAAAGGGCTACCAATGAATAATTTGCAGAAAATGGACAAAAACAAAATGTCCTATCCTTATAGAGACAAATATGGATTCCTTTTACCAACATCTATTGAAATTTCAGTAACTTACTAATTACAAATGAACTATCAGTAATGAAGCAAATTCCTAGTAATAAACTAACCTGGGAACAAACTTGCGCATAGCTGGTGCAACCCACAGCAGGTTGTCCGCCTGTACGATGTGCTATGTTTTACAGAAGCAGAGCTCCGTTTCAGTGTGGTCCAGCTTCTCTCAGCCACCTCGTCCTCTTAAAGGTGCTTATCTTATAGGTATATGTTTAGAGTTTTTCTTTTCTTTTCTTTTTTTCTTTTTTTTTTACAAAAGAGCACATTTTCTGAATTCCTACAAGCCCTCTGTAGCACTGAAGACAAACAGCCTCGGGTTTGTTTTCAGCTTGGCTTTCACTTCACATTGACTTGGCAAAGAAAGAAAAAAAGAGGGTGTTGGAGATGTCAACACCAGCACCCAAGTGGTCAGATACAAACGGTGCACCATTGTTGATGCTTTTTGTTGTCATTATACAAATAGGGTAGAGGTTTAAGGTGGGGTTGGACTCAAATCACTAACAGATCTTTTTTTTTCTGTTTAAATTTGGTCCAGCCTTTAGATAAAGAGCAGTTGTAGTTTGGTTGAAGTGGGAGCCAGGCCTGGTCGAATGAGGATTTGGCCGCTGTACAAAGTCTATGCAAATATGGAGCATGGAGGCTCCCCTTGGTTCTAAAATGCATTTGTTTTTCTGGCTGTGAAATTAGGATAGTATGGGAAAGCACTGATTTTAGGTCAACACCTTCTCCTCTACTCATCATCACCATCATCCTTTCCTTTATCCTTTTTGTCCTTCTTGTCCTTCTTCTTCTTTTTCTTCTTCTTGGCCTCTTCCTTCTTGCCAAAGCTGATGAAGTCACCTTTGTCATCCACGGGGCCTGGGTCGTGGCGAATGGAAATGATAGCTGGAGATCCAGGGATGATGAAAGCTTCAGGGGGGATCTCTCCGGGTTTCAGAGGCTGAGGGGGGATGTAACTTTGTCCAGCACCATATCTGAAGTGCCAGCTGTTGCTGTTGACGCCAGCACCCACAGGAGGAGAAAGCTCTCCACCACCCTCTCCGTCTACAAAAAAGTCAAATAGAAATGAGGGGCATGGTCAATCTGCAACAATACATTCAGTACAACTGTTACAACCACTGCCTTGCTGCTCAGGGTTCAGGACCAAGGACAGCACCATACCTTGCTCCTTTTATCCAGCACCCTGGACAGAGGCATGATGTCCTAAGGCTGCCACCCCTGCTCCTCCTCATCCTCCATCCAACCTTCCCAGCTGCTCTCAATTCCTAATCACTAAATGAGCACCTTTAAGAGGAAAGCTGCCAGAAGAACAAGTGAAGGTAGAGAACATACAGATATGTGCTGCTGTTTAACCTCTCCCAGTGACTTGTCTGTTCAATAGAGCTTGCTGATAATTGTTTGTTCAGAGGAACTTGTTTAAATCTGTATGCTCAGAGGAGGTCAATGACAAGCATGCTAAAAATAACATCTCCAAGCAACCAAGGCATATTATCTCTATTTTCACAGGTGGGTAAATGAAATATGTCGAGAAAAGAACACTGCCCCTACTGTGAAACATGGAGGAGGCTCTGTTATGTTCTCCCAGCTTGTCTCCAACTTTTTGGGGACAGGTCGCGGGGGCAGCAGCCTAAGCAGAGAGGCCCAGAATTCCCTCCTCCAAGCCACTTGGGCCAGCTCCTCCTGGGAAATCCCAAAGCATTCCCTGGCCAGCTGAGAGACATAGTCCCTCCAGCGTGTCCTGGGTCTTTCTTTGTGACTTCTCCTGGTTGAATGCGCCTGGAAAACCTCACCAGGGAGGTGTCAAGGAGGTATCCCAACCAGACACATGAGCCACCTCAACTAGTTCCTCTCGATGTAGAGGAGACGCGGCTCTACTCCAAGACCCTCCCTGATGAACAAGCTCCTTCCCCTGTCTCATAGAGCCCCAACATTCTGCAGAGAAAACTCATTTTGAATGCTTGTATCCTCGATATCATTATTTCTGTCACTGCCCAACTACCTATAAATGAGGGATGGAACGTAAATCAACCTTTAAATTGAGAACTCCGCCTTCTAGCTCAGCTCTCTCTTCGCCACGAAATACCATTACAGCACCTGCATCACCGCAGACGCAGCGCTAATCTGCCTGTCGATCACCTGCCCCATTCATGAACAAGACCAAGAGATAAATAAACTCCTCCCCTTGAAGCAGGACCTCATCCCCGACCAGGACAAGGCATCCTGCCTTTTTCCAATTCAAGGATTTAGAGGAGCTGATTCTCATCCCAGCCGCTTCACACTCAGCTACAAACCCCTACACTGAAAGCTGGAGATCATGTTCTGATGACATCAACAGGACAACACCATCTGCAAAATGCAGAGACCTGATCATCAGGCCATCAAAGCAGATCCCCCCACCACCTTAGCTGCGGTTAGAAATCCTGTCCATAAAAGTTATGAACAGAATCTGAGACAAATACTAAAACAAACAAACAAACAAAAAAAAGATGGGCAAGTTCATCAAATGTTTCCTTTTCTTTATATATATATATATATATATATATATATATATATATATATATATATATATATATATATATATATATATATATTCAAAATTTTAAACTAATGTCATGATTTCACAATTTTCCTTACACATTTTTACCATCACTACCTATTGGGATATTGTGAAACATATCTTAAAGGTAAAACAATCCTTATACCTTTTATCGTGTGACATTTCAGGTGCATGAGCAAAACAATTCCCATCTGGATAACACATTGAAGCTATGGAGGTAATGGCATTTTGAAATTAAAAGATCTTGGTGAATTGTTTGCTTTTTCTCATTTCTTCAGCAACTGAATAATTATTTGAATTGATCGTTTTTTTTATCTATAACTTGCTAAATAGTCAGTTATTTATGCCAACAGATTTTCTAAATTTAGCACAGATAGAAGATTTGATAAATCCTCACAAGCTGCAAAGGATCAGACATCCATCTGAGCATCTTAAAAGTCACAGGATGCACCACTTCCTCCTTTATTGCCACATTTGTGTCAAATGTAGAAGTTTAACATCTCTTTTTACTTTTGTACTTACTTTGCACTCTCAGATTACAATTCCTGATTTTTTTTAATGCTGTTTTATTTTCTGCAGCTCAGTAGCGACAAGAAGTGGACATTTTCAGAGCTTTAGTTTAGCTACCACTGAAGGCAAGGTAAGTTAATAACCTTAAGAGATTTTTAACCTGACATTGTGATTAGTTTTTGTATTTGGGTGATGGCAGCAAGCATAATGCCACTCATGGAGGTGGACAGCAATTCAGTCTGTAAAGCAAAAGCTTGGGTGTGAAAGAGAAAGGAACCCAGATGGCAGACCGGAAAAAAGAACAGGGCAAAGAAATGGAAAACGAATTTTATGTTATTGTGACAGTTATTGAAAAGAAAAGGTGAAATATAACTTAAGGTTAAAAGGTCACATGGCTTACAATGAAAAGGAAAGTGGGTGTTAAATGAGATGGAGAGAGAGGGAAGGGAGGATGAGAGGAGAGTGAGGCAGAGAGGAGGATGGGGGTGGGCGGGTTTTGCAGACACGGTGCTCTCAGGCCCACACCAGTTCTCTCTACACTGACCTACTTTCAGTCTGGATTTTATTTAGATCAAATGCGAGCCGTTGCAAAAAGATTCATCTCTTCCTGAATTTTATTTAAAAAAATGTTTGGATGCTATTTATGAGATTGCTCAGGTGCTCAAATGGTTTCAACAACCACTCTGTTGGGACAAACACTATTTAAAAAATTGCTATGCTCATACACATGCCGTCTCATTAAAGTCTTCCTACAGGATCATCCAGAAGGAAATTGAAATCAAGAAAGCAGTTAAAATGAGCATTTATATACTATTGAACTGTTCATATGTTCTCAAACATTTTGAGCATTCTCACTTTTTACTTATACTTTTTGTCTTTTTCATTAATGTTTTGTTCCCTAATAAACACAAATTGACCACTGAAATTGAGCTTATTTGATATTTAGTGTTGGCATTTAATCTAATATCCTCATTAGTAGACTTAGTGCTGTAAGTCTATAACGTCTGTTTCTGAGGATTATGACATTTGTGTTTATAGTCTGTCTGTCTGTATTTAATCTGGGAATTAAACCGACTGAAACACTGATGCAGCGAAGCCCCATCAAATCAGTGGTGAGCTAGGATAGATGGCTTCTTCTGCAAAACAAGACAACCATAACCAAAATGTGCATGAGTCAGTGAAAATGCATAAAATAGGGTGAATAACACAGAGCTAATAATTTTAAGTTGCATTTTTTAGATCAGAAAAACAAAAAGTAGAGTGGACATTTACATCCGAAGCAAACCAAAGAGAAGAAAACAAACCACACAATTTGGAGACCTCACAGCTACCAGTTGGTTACCATGAACCATTTTTAATCGTTACATCGTAGCAAGTTTGTAGCAAGACATTTTAAGAGCTCAAATCGATTATCGTGCTCTTTCAAAACTTTCTTCTGGATGGACTCTGTTCTTGTTGAAAGAGTTTAATGCTGATCAGATGCAACGTGAAAACAGATGTTTTACCTATCCCCGTGCACCCAGTGGAGTGTTCAGGCCTTTCAAAATAGGGTGGCCCTGGTGGGGCACTTGTTTATGCATGGGTGACACCTATGATTACGCTTTTATTGATAAATTATTTTTGAGGGGGTGTCAAAATCATTATACTTTTCATTTCAGTGAATTTGTGAGCTCCACATTGTGTCATGACCAATTTTCCTCTCTCTTTTTCTTTTACTTCTACTTTGAGCTGTTTTGTGGTGGCTGGAAAGCCGCCAACTGGAGTGGGGTGGGACTGGGATTCTAAATATGACTCATGTCAAAATGAAAAAAAAAATTAAAAATCTCACTTGTATGTGCCTTTGAGTCAGAGGACTCCAAAACACTTTACACTACTGTGTGCCATCCATTCAATGATGACTCTACAAATAATAAAGCCAAAAAATAATATAGAAATGTTGTGTGGGCCTGGGGCTTGAAACAATGTTAAACCCCATGCCTTTTAAGGACGATGTGAAGGCAATTTAAATGAGGCTCAGGAGGTAGAGCGGGTTGTCCATCAATGGGGAGGTTGCAGGTTCAATCCCAGCTCCCACTAGAGAGATCGGTGGCGCCACTGTATGGCAGGCCTTGTCTTTGTCAGTGCGACCCAAGGCAGTTGTGGCTACATTGTAGCTCATCGTCACCAGCATGTGAATGTGTGTGTGAATAGGTGGATGACTGTGTTGTGAAGCACCGTGGGGGGTTGTAGAACCCTAAGAAGGCACGAAACAAATACAGGACAGCTTCTATTTAAATGAAACTCAGTGGGGTGGCCATTCAGATTTTAAGGGTGGCAAGTGCTACCCTAGGCAACTCCCTGGACACGCCCCTGCATGCACCTTAATTTTTACCGTTTGGTCAAAACTCTCTATTTTTGGAATTTAGGGCTAGGGTTCAAAATCTTCTTGCTCTCTGCATTGAATCTTCAGCTTGGATGTTCTGGGTTGACTATCTTATTCTAGCCCTGGTCCGCATTAAATGGACTTGATTTGTGTGAGTGTTTGTATGTGTGTGTGTGTGTGTATGACTGTAAATGCTTTTAAACTGTTGTGGGAATTTGGGGTCATTTTAATTCTGTAAAGCACTTTGAGTTGCACTTTTGCTTGAAAAGCGTTTTGTAAATAAAATCTGATTGAATGATTGATTAGACCAAAGTCGTCCAACCATCTTTATGCATTTACCAAAGATTTTCATTGGATTTGTTGCCTCTCAAGACAATCCTCTACAGTAATGTTGTGTTGTGGGCTTTGATAGTATTCTGCTGAGTGTTTGGGAGCTTTTCAGCATTGACAGTGCTTTTGAAATGAATATAATGATGAAAAAGACAACTGCTGCCAATTAGCTTCTTTTCAGAATGATGGATCAAAATCTGTGTTTTTTTTCTGTGTTCAAAACTCTGTCAGTTTGATCCCCAACAATCCTGCCAGAAAAGCCATTTAAAATGGGCTCAGCTAAGCTGCTTGTTTTGTCTAGATCTGGTTAATCCCTTAATTTAGGTTCCTTTTTTGATTAATTCCCAGGTCAGGGTGGACTGGGTGACTCATCTGGACTGGGTTTGCAAACAAACACAAAATCCTCTAGAAAAAGGTCAAGTCTGAGGGCTGACCTGAAAACGAACACTTTAAACAACTCTAAGTAAATCTATAAAGAAATAAAGGGAGTGGTTCAAGACACTTGCACTGGGCTGCATCTCTTATCAAATTATTGTGTCTTGGGACATCCCAGGGCTTCCTGTACTGCTGTGGCAAATCCCCGATTCCGGATATCGTTAATTAAGACACTGATATTAATCAGTAATTGGCCTGTCTGGGTGCGCGTGCATGTGTGTGTGTGGTTGTGTGTTTGCATAATTCGTTATTAGCAGGTCATGTCACTGATTGGTACAATTATGAAGCCACTTGTGCAGCTTTTTATCAGGTAGGTCAGTTTCCTCAGTTACTTACAGCGATCTGAAACACATTTCTGTGGAGCTTGCTAATAGGCAGGTCAGCATAGCTCCTTGTGAGCACGTTGCCATGACACCTGATGAGTGCTGAAAGCCTGATTTCATGTAACCCGGTGTCCTACATTTAAAATAAGCTGTGCTATTTTCTGTACTGATACATTTTCATCTCTGAATGAATTCCTCTGGAGGGTTTGTAACACACGTGCTGATGCAATAGTCATGTAGAGTAAATAAATGCAGTGTGTGTCACATGCATTTTTCATAAGCACACCAATCTTAAGCTCATCCATTTGCTCCTAATACCTATTCTTGCTGAGTTGTCTTCCCTTCTCTGCTCCCTGCTTCTGTCTCTAAAAATTCCATTCAGAGATAAGGCTGGTTGCTATGGAAACTGCCTTCGCCCACTCCCTGCTGATGGTGGGTGCGGCTGCTGCAGCAGTCTCTCTGTTAGACAGTGTTGCCAGGCAACAAGTCACATGGCGTTGTTCCCTAGCAACAACACCACTGCAGAAACCTGCCAATCCTCTTAACCTTTCTCTCCCTCCATCCCCCCACACCTCCATTTTTCTTCTTTATCCTCCTGCATACATCCTTTTGCTCTTTCACTCCCACTTCTGCTTTTAATGTTACAGGACCACTTCTTTTTTTTTTTAAATGCTCTCACTAGTAATAGCTTGGCTGCCCCTCTGGCCTGAGTCAAATGTCTTCCTGATGTGTGCCAGGGATCATTTATGTAAACATGGATTTCAGAAAACTGCATCAAGATGCACCACGGCACGTTGGGCAACTTCAGGATACACAGCAGACATCTGAACTAAAAAATAAAGTAAAAAAATGCACAAATTTACTAACAGTTCCCTTGCTGACTGTGCCACTACCCATCACCTTGAAATCTCTCTGTGTGTTATAATTCCTACAGCCACACAGAAAATCAATGACTGGAAGATTGACTGAAAGAAAGGAACAGCTCATAATCTTCTAAACACTGTTTTCCATTCACAAGAAGTTTTCCAGTCATTTCTGTCACTTTCAACAAACTGTAGTACTCTGAGATGTTCTTAGTCATCCGCTCCGAGGCTCAGAAGCCAGCAAATGTGAAAATGATGCAACATGGGTCAACTTTTAGGGTTAGCTCTCTTTACGTTTTGTTGCTACACATTTGAAATCGTGCCACCCACTCAGGACAGATCATTCCTTGTTGAAAACAGCAGCCTCCTTCTGTTTGCGGGGCCTCGTGCTGCCGGCTGCTACGAAGGAAGGACACAGTTGTTTATCTGTGATGCTGCATGGTGCCTCAGGCTTCCAGCGTCTCATCTGAGCCCTGCATCAGCACCACACTGATTTTTAGGAGAGTTTAGATATTCAAATGTTAATTATATTACATTTCAAATTGAAAGTTGTTAAATTAACTACATTAAAATTATTTTGAAATTGAATTCAACCACCTTTATGGATGTAACAGCATATGTGGGGCTAGTATGTTGGTGCCTGGTATATTAAAGGTACAGTTTTAAAATTGGAGAAATCTCATCCATTTACACCCTGAGAGTTGGATAAAACTCAGGTTTTTATAAGATCAATGTGAAAAAGAGTAGTTTTCCTAAAACAGGGAATGAAAAAAAAATGCTTAAATTAATAAAAACTTTCCTATACAGCATGACAGAATCTTTGCATTCAGGCTTGACTGGTTTAACAGAGTATGAATGTGACAGACTGAATTAATGTCAAATGAAGAAAAATGGAAGTCAGGATGCAAACATGTTTAGCATTTGAAATGCAACAAATACGAACCAAACAGATGCCTACATAACTATTTAAAATGATACATTATTTATAATCTTTATTATAAAAGGGGTAACACGTTTGAATGACACTTGGGAAATTTAAGTCAGATGTTTCAATTTTTAAAATGAGTCAAAATTCAAGGAACAAAGTTTCATTTTGTCACATTTCCTCAAAAATCCACTCTCTGCAACAACAGAGGCACTATTGTGTTCATGGTTGTGTCTGCGTTAACCAGAGAGCAATACTCAGATATTACTTGTTTGTTCTGTACACTTTCTTGGTCCAATCACAGCAAAAAGTGCTGACTCACATTATGACGGTCATAATTCACACTGCTGCAGTCCTACTCACCTGCAGCACTGGATACAGTAGGCCAGTTCTGGACCAGCATGCCCTGGGCTCCCTGCACCACCGAGGACTCCTCCATGTGGACAGCACTGGAAGACAGACCACACACATCACATATCCAAATGAGAACATGTTAAAATTTAGATATTTTTTAAGTTTTATAATTCTAACATCCCAAACTACAATGTAATCCAATATATAGAAAAAAGATTTATTGTAAGTCATTTTATTTTTTCATAGCCAATGCCTCAGGCTTGGACTGCAGTGGTTTATGGCCTCTGTGGGATCATTTAATTGATTTTGTCTAAGTGGATTTTCTGTCCATGTCACCTTCTTTGCATTTTCACAAAACTCTTCAATATAAAGTGGCAAAAGGCTTTGGATTGTTTAATAAGGTTTAAAAAAGACATCTCAGTAGATGCTTAGCTTTTTCTAAATAGGACGTATTGCATTTGGTGTCTGTCTTCGAACATGTTCAGTTAGTTTTTGAGTTGGACTGATTTGAAATGCCGCAATAACACAAAACAAAAAACAGACACATTTAAATAAATGAATAAGTGTTTTATCTGGTTCCTGTTAAAAATAAAGATTAGTGACTGCCTTTAAAATATGGATATCCTTTGTGATTCACCCTCAGGGTTTTTTAATGCTATTTTTATTATTTGGGAATATTAAAAAGAAAGTATTATACACATACTTTACTTTGTACAGTCTAGCCTGACATGGTGCAAATAATAATTGCAAAAAAAAAAAGGCATCCTTGTAATGAAAATAAAACAGATCGCCGACGATAACCAATACATCAAGTTACTCTGATCTGGAAAAGGGATTTTTAAAGATGTACAATGTTTAAGGTTTACCTTCAAATCCTCTATATCAGGGCTATTCAATTCCTGGCCTCAAGGGCCAATATCCAGCACGTTTTAGTGGTTTCTCTGGTCTAACACAATTGATTCAGCAGCTCATCATGCTCTGCCTGTTAATCACCTGCTGATCAAACAACACGTTCTCACTCCCAGCGCGTCAAAAACAAACGCTTGGTCAGCTACCCTCCACGTCAGACCCCTGACGCCAAAAGTGCCCTTTTTCGTTACTTATGTGCGAAAAGGGGTTTTCCCTTATTTGACTGCAGATCCCAATGCAGCGTAAAACTGAAGCGATGTGATGTCCGCTACCATTGCATCCCAATGCAGCGTTACACTGGCACCAGACAAGCTCATTGTACCTCACCTTAACCTTATCCTCTTATTTAACCTTATCCTCTTATTTAACCTTCCCCTCACCTCTATCCTAACCTTAACAATCTTGCCAGCGAACACGTTAGTGATGTGTCGATCGCTCTAAAAGCCGGCTCTACGAAGTGAACGGCGGGAGCCGCCTCGTGATTGGTTGAGTTTGGACCGAGCCAACGCGAGGGGGAGGTTTCAACTACCAAGGTGGAGGTTAAAAGTAGAGGGTATGTGTAACCTCCCCCTCGCCAGATGGTATGTTCTAACGTTCCCCTTGGGCGGCAAATACGAAAATTCACAGTCAGATTCTGACTGTCAGAGTCAGAATGCAGGGGAAGCAAACGCTTGATCGCAGTGAGAGCAACGTTTTAGGTAGCAAGAGGGTTAAGGTTAGGATGAGGGAGAGGGGAAGGTTATAAATAGCGAAACGTTAAGGTTTAGGTGCGGTTAAACGAGCTGGTTCGGTGCCGCATCAGCGGATTGTCACGTCCTGTCCTGTCTACTCTTAGGTTTTGTCTGTGTCTCTGTTAATTGCTCCCACCTGCCTCTTGTTTCCCAATCACCTTAGCTCCCGGTCCTCCTGTATTTAATCCCCGTCTGTTTTGTGTCCTTTGTGGAGTCATTGTTTCAGTGTCCAGCGTGTGTCTTCAATAAACCTGTGTTAAACGGACTCACCTGTTCGCCTTCTTGCTCCCTGCGCTTGGATCCTCCTCGCTGCCTGGCACGCACGTGACAGAATGACTCCACCATTCAGTAATGGATCCAGCAGGGAGAATCTTCCGTGGAGTTGCTTTCTTCAGTGGTTCATGTCCGACCACCGGCCAGCTTCTCCCTCTCCGGCCCCAGCTCCGCCTCGCCGCCGCCGGCGTCCCCGGCCATCAGCCTCGGCGTTCCTCGCCGCCCTTCCGGAACCGGACGGGAGTTGGGATGGGGAGACGCTCCTGGATCGCTCCAGCTATGAGGGCACAAGGCTGGCGATCTGCCCTCCCGGAGTCGGTCCACGGCGTGGGGAAAGTCGCCGGAAGCCACCGCAGCCCTGCGCTTCAGGACGGAGCTTCGAGCATGCCACTTCCTCCTCCAAGTCTCCTCCTTCTGCTCCGAGACGTCAGTCCGTTCCTGCCCCGGTCCAAACTATCCGGACCGGCTTCATTTCCTTCTCCCCTAAACCTGTTGGTGCCCTCTCAGCACATCCGAAGGGCCAAGCCACCACACCCTCGCCTGGACCAGACAGCGCTGTTGCATCTTCTCCGGTGGGCTGTCATTCCTCCTCAGTTCCTGCCAGTGTCCTCTCCATACCTCAGCTGAACCAAAAAAAAACACGCCGACGCCGCCACAACCGTCCTGCTCCAGCGGTGGTCCCGATGGACGCATCGCCTCCTGTTCCAGCGGTGGTCCCGGTGGACGCAATGCCTCCTGTTCCAGCGGTGGTCCCGGTGGACGCATCGCCTCCTGCTCCAGCGGTGGTCCAAGGGGACGCATCGCCTCCTGCTCCAGCGGTGGTCCAAGGGGACGCATCGCCTCCTGCTCCAGCGGTGGTCCAAGGGGACGCATCGCACCTTGTCTCGGCAGAGGAGGATGCACGGGCTCTGGTCCAGCCCATCCATGGGGCCCCGGGTCAGAAGTCAACGCCTCCCGGCTCGAGCTCCGAAGCAGACGCACCCGGCTCGAGCTCCGAAGCAGACGCACCCGGCTCGAGGTCCGAAGCAGATGCACCCGGCTCGAGCTCCGAAGCAGACGCACCCGGGACAGATGTCGACTCCTCTGAAGTCTGCTCCCAAGTCGACGTGGCCTCCCCTGATGACGGCTCGTCTGATGACGTCGCCTCCCCTGATGACGGCTCGTCTGATGACGTCGCCTCCCCTGATGTCGGCTCGTCTGATGACGTCGCCTCCCCTGATGTCGGCTCGTCTGATGACGTCGCCTCCCCTGAAGTCGGCTCGTCTGATGACGTCGCCTCCCCTGAAGTCGGCTCATCTGATGACGTCGCCTCCCCTGAAGTCGGCTCGTCTGATGACGTCGCCTCCCCTGAAGTCGGCTCGTCTGATGACGTCGCCTCCCCTGAAGTCGGCTCGTCTGATGACGTCGCCTCCCCTGATGTCGGCTCGTCTGATGACGTCGCCTCTCCTGATGTCGGCTCGTCTGATGACGTCGCCTCTCCTGATGTCGGCTCGTCTGATGACGTCGCCTCCCCTGATGTCGGCTCGTCTGATGACGTCGCCTCTCCTGATGTCGGCTCGTCTGATGACGTCGCCTCCCCTGATGTCGGCTCGTCTGATGACGTCGCCTCCCCTGAAGTCGGCTCGTCTGATGACGTCGCCTCCCCTGATGTCGGCTCGTCTGATGACGTCGCCTCCCCTGATGTCGGCTCGTCTGATGACGTCGCCTCCCCTGATGTCGGCTCGTCTGATGACGTCGCCTCCCCTGATGTCGGCTCGTCTGATGACGTCGCCTCCCCTGATGTCGGCTCGTCTGATGACGTCGCCTCCCCTGATGTTGGCTCGTCCGATGACGTCGCTTGTGGTCTGACGTCTCCCCCATCTCCAGTTCCAGTGGTGATTCTGAGGGTTGCTCCGGTCCAGCCTGCAGGGACTTTGTCGCCGGTCCAGCCTGTGTCCCCGGCCCAGCCTGCGGGGCTCCTCTGCTGCAGGCGCCGCCCCCCTAGGGTTCGTCCTCATCTCCTCATCTGCCCCAGGCGCCGCCCCCCTAGGGTTCGTCCTCGTCTCCTCATCTGCAGCAGGCGCCGACCTCCAAGGGCCCGTCGCCTCCTCATCTGCAGCAGGCGCAGGCCTCCTGACTCTGCTGATCCCTGCCGCCTCTCCTGTGGTCCCTCGGTTCCTCTGGGCCCTCCCTCTGGGTCCCCCTCCTCCCGCCCTGCTCCTGGTTCCTGTGGGCGTCTGGGATCCGCCCTTTGAGGGGGGGGTACTGTCACGTCCTGTCCTGTCTACTCTTAGGTTTTGTCTGTGTCTCTGTTAATTGCTCCCACCTGCCTCTTGTTTCCCAATCACCTTAGCTCCCGGTCCTCCTGTATTTAAACCCCGTCTGTTTTGTGTCCTTTGTGGAGTCATTGTTTCAGTGTCCAGCGTGTGTCTTCAATAAACCTGTGTTAAACGGACTCACCTGTTCGCCTTCTTGCTCCCTGCGCTTGGATCCTCCTCGCTGCCTGGCACGCACGTGACACGGATATCTAATCACGTCGGTTTTACGCTGCATTGGGATCTGCAGTTACAAAAGGGGAAAACCCTTTTCGCACATAAGTAACGAAAAAGGGCACTTTTGGCGTCTGGGGTCTGACGTGGAGGGTGGCTGACCAAGCGTTTGTTTCCGACGCTTAGGTTGTGAGAATGTGTTGGATCAAAATAAGTTTGGATAAAAGGATGAAGAACTAAGTCCTTCAGCGGTACTTCAGAGTTAAAACATGCTCATGATATAGGTATGTGGAGTAACCAGGTAGGTAGGTTTTAACTGTTGCAAATCTGCAACGCCTGCCTCCAGAGGGTTAAAACTAAAACGTGCTGGATACCGGCCCTCAAGGCCCAGAATTGAATACCCCTTCTTACTAGCAGACCATTCTCCAAAATCTTTCACCATTTTGCTGTCTGCTGTCATTCTTTCGCAAACTTTGCTAAAATGGTGCCCCAGTCCTTTAGCTGGATAAAATTTAGGTGACAACCTATGTACTTCTAAACTTTCTTGTGCACTTAGAAGACCGTTTCACAAATGCTGCAGAAATTGGGATTTTTAGGGATTATCTTTATTTTCATGGCCAAGAGAGATTTTGCAATTAATGATTAATCTGGACTTTATGCAAACTGCCATCATAAGGGGCTCGACACACGCGTGGCGACAAACGACCGCGATCACCGTAAATCATCGCTGCCGCTTTTATTACCTGACATATGGGAGGCGACCCGTGGCAGCGGCCAGCGGCAAAGCCGTCTAGGCGTTCTGTTCCATGGCAAAATCAAAACTTCCGTTGTTTTGTTTGGCTGTGTCAAGTTGGAGGGAATTAAGGTTATTTAAGTGGTTCAGAGTAACAAAAAGTGGTAGATATGATGTTTCACAAGGTGCTGCTGGAGTTTTGTGAAATCTTACTTCTGATTTTACTACATAAAACATAATAATAATCAACTTCTCTGTCATGTTTGCTCGGAGATGTACGGAGCATCCTGTACGCTCATTGGTCAGTGAATGAAACCTCCATTGATTGGTCCTCGTCCGAGTGACAGCGATGAAAAATTGAAAATATTTCAACTTTCTGAGATTGTGTCGCTGGGTCACATGTGCACGACACGTGCACGGGCGCAAAATTTCACACGCACGTTTTTCGCTTTTTGCTTACTGGGAGGGAGACCCGCGATTATCACTTTGTCGCGCATGTCTCATTGAAAATGAATGGAGGAGAGGCGATGTCGCCTCCCGTGTGTCGAGCCCATTACATTGTGACCACAAACTATGTTAGAAACAATATTTGTGTCAATCTAAAAACCTAAGCAACTACTGAGCACAGAGCAACATGTGTGATCACTCCTACGTCCAGGTTAAGAGTTAATGGGAGGTCTCTCTGTGTCCGCGTGCATTACAGGCCCTGCCACTTTAAAGATGGCAGTGGCAAATTGCAGCAATGATTATTGTTAATCCATGTCATGTTGCCATGACTTGTTGACAGAGTGCACATCATGATCTCCTGCTCACTGTAGAAATTAGCATTAATATCCAATTAAATCCAACTTGGACGGAGCAAATGGCTGCGTGACTGAACATTAGGCATTGCTAGCATGACATTATGAAAATCTGGTACAAAGCGTGGTCATGTGGGGGGAAAACTCATTAGTTCCTCATTTTCCAGCTGTCTTTGTATGAAATAAGAAATGCACTTAATTTCATGTTAATAAGGAGGTTTTGCATGACCTAATCATTAAAGTAAAATATATACTGTTGCTTTTGATGACAATGCTACTTTGAACAAGAAAGTGAAACAATGTGGGAATACTCAAGTATTCTACAATCTGTCTATGATTATAATGTGTTTCAACTCCTAACTAAATTTATTTTAAAGAACTGAGGAAAATCAACTTTTCCAAGCTTTTTCCAGCTTGGCTTAGTGTTGTTTTGCTACTAGCATGACTTTGGATCTTTTTATAATTTGATTTAGCTGAGTGGAAGAGCCTTATCAGGTCATCAGTAGCAAACACTTCACACAAGTTCAAGCTGCCCCCGGAGAGATGCTCACACGTGGAGTTAATACACAAAGCAACACATGTGTATCTCATAATCTGAGAAAGGTCGTCGGCAGCTCGTTTGTCCTTCATGCTTCATGCTTAAAGACAGAAAGAGAGGAAGCTACACTCTGAATGTTGATGACCTATATAGTAGTACACTGCAGAAAACTAGAGGGATGCTGCAGCCACTGACAAATACCCTCGTGTCTGTTTCCAGGTGCAGATACACGTTTTGTTGTACTGTTACTGTTAGTCTGTAAAATTGGTTGACACAAGATACAGAATTATATTAAAAGAGCTTACAAAATATCCGTTGTCAGTTCATGTAATCGTTTAAAGATGTGATACACTCATTTAATCAATACTGGGGGGGGGGGGGGGGGGGGGGATGGGGGTCGAGAAGTGAGCCACATTACAGCTGAGCTTCAGAGGACAGGTTTTGGAGTCTTGTTTTCTGATATTTGGACATCTAACCTCAAATTAGATGACAGCAACGTGAATCTACCACCGACTTGCATCGTGGATGTTTTATCTCCACAAATAACAATAGCCTGAAGGAGTTCTACCATGTGGTGAAGTTGCTAAGGCTAACAGTTAGCTTCTACTAGTGTTCTCTACTGTTTCCTGGATGCTAAACCAGCAACAGCTTTCCCCATCATGAGTCAAAATGGCTGAGCCCATTAATGTTAAGTGACAGTATGATGTAGACTTGTCAGACTTTTTAAATCCTAGTGTCGCGGCCTTTTACCATCCAAAATGAAATAATTCCAACAAAAGGCCGTGGGGTGCCATCTGGTGGGTTTGGGTTTTGCTTGCACTCCAGACTTCAGTCCTTAAAATGATATTATATTTATTTCTTATAAAGTTTGAACTATGAACACAGGTAGCCATACTGGGGCCAGGTTTCACAGTCTATTTCTAACAGAAGCTAATGCAGGAGATATGTGTAAGAGACTACTTTCAAGTTTAGCCTGCACAAAACTCAGATTGAATGATTGTAAGAAGAAATAAGATTAAAAACTTTTTTCAGTGCTCCACACCTTTAATGGAACAAATTGTAGATCATAAATTCTTAAATATGAATTTTTTCCCATGATGAATCTACATATGTAGATTCTTGAATGCAAATCCCACTAAATCAAATGATTATTATCACAGTGCCAGCAGCATTTAGTTACCCAGAGTATTCTGGTGGCCTGACCCATGAAGATGAGCACAGCATTTGACATGGTTTGTTTACTGCCACAAGTTTTCGAGACATTTTGTATTACTATTCCTATTCCTTTCAGCTAAGGGATCCAGGCCAACGCATGAAGCCAGAAAATAGCTGCTATCATCCATGTTGGCAAAAAAATCAATTAGCAGCATCTGTATATAGTTATGGAGTCACAAGCACCTTTTAAAACCTACGGTGTTGTTTTGTAATTTTGAGCCTAGTGTCAAGACTGAATAAGGATGTTGATTTTGTTTCTATTGATGCATATGGGAGTTATGGATTATGTTCATTTTAACCAGCTACCGACCATGTATGCTGGTTATTTACATGGTCACTGTTGTAGAGAACACATGAAATATGTTTTTGTGCAGCTGATACATTCTGATAACCTCAAGATGCTCTAATCCCATCCTACATATCTGATTGGATCGGTATGACTACACTCATCTACAGATCATGTTTATAAAACATTCTTAAGATGTTTGTCTGCAACTTTAGAAAGATTGTCCATCTATCTATCTATCTATCTATCTATCTATCTATCTATCTATCTATCTATCTATCTATCTATCTATCTATCTATCTATCTATCTATCTATCTATCCATCTATCCATCCATCCATCCATCCATCTATCTATCTATCTATCTATCTATCTATCTATCTATCTATCTATCTATCTATCTATCTATCTATCTATCTATCTATCTATCTATCTATCTATCTATCTATCTATCTATCTATCTATCTATCTGTCTGTCTGTCTGTCTGTCTGTCTGTCTGTCTGTCTGTCTGTCTGTCTGTCTGTCTGTCTGTCTATCACATTTAAAACCCATTGTTTTGAGTCAGTGGGATATTTTGTGCAATCATGTTAACCAGAGAACATATTTGCATTAAACTGTGTATTACTGAATCCCTGTTATGGATGCTATAAGCAGGATAAAGAAGTACATCTTTATTTTTTTATTCATTCATTAAGAAGGACATTCTTGCAAAAATGTTAAAGATGGAAAATGCTTACCCTTGCACCCCTGCCCTCAAAGACGCAGAATATCGCCAGTCAGCATTTGGGGCTTTTGGCTGAGAGAGCATGAGGAAGAGAGAGAAGAGAAGAGAGGGGTAAAAAAAAGGAGTGATAAGAGAAAGATGAAGAGACACAAGGAGGAGGGGGGACAGAAGTGGGAAGAGAGTGAGTTTAATTTGATCTCATGCAGTGCAGAGCCGGGCTGGGCCGTGGTCTCATCAATTATTCATGATGCACATCCGAGTTCAGGATGTGATAAGAACACTGCAGCTGTGGCTCACATTTTAAACACAAACATGTATATAATCATAGCCACACACACAAAAATAAAATAAAATAACACTGGAAGTCACTGAGAGCCAAACTGGCAGCTTTTCTACGATCTCCCCATCAGTGCGGTAAAATAAGCGAGGTGGAGGAATTATGGCCCATTCCTTGAGTGCTGCCATGTTTGATCATTTTGATGTGTGTGTGTGTGTGTGTGTGTGTGTGCATGCGTGCACATGTATGTGTGTGTGTGTGTGTGCACACATGTAAGTGGAGTAAATCTGGCTGCTCCTGATGAAACTGGTCTGATTGCTTGAAGTTCCCAGCAGACGTTTCATAAAATCAAGCAAGAATGGCCATCATCACCACAGCACCCACATCCTCTCTCTAACCTTCATCAGCCATACATGTGTTAAATACAAACGTGATAATGTTCATGTGTATTATTAGACAAAGGGAAACACGCCATTTAAGACAGTCTTTTTTTAAGTGTTTTTATCTTTCAGGCTTTTAAGACTCAACTAGCAGAATATTTGTCATCGTAGGCAATGATTATTAACCTGTTTCAGGATTGGCCACTGGTTGTAAAGGAATAGAGGCACATTTAACAAATGCATTTGATCACGTGTATCTTTTGACAATGCTGTTAATAGGAATAATTAGAATCAAAACTAAATATCAATGTTAACTTTGAATTTGTAACACAAAATATGAACCAATAACTCATTTAAATAATGCAAAGTTTGCAAACCTAAATAAATAGAATCCATTCTAAATATTTAGAGTAAAATGTAAAATTTAACTATTTACACTCACAGTTGACCTCAGATTTTAAATGAATTCTAAATGTGTAAAGTTAAGAGTAAATATTAAAATCTAAATATGAATATGTCAATTTCCAATTAAAGGCTGAGCTAATATGCTAATTCAGACCACTGTGAACTAGAAGTAGTAGACAACCAAAATAAATGCGAGGCTTCAAAGTGATCCCATAACATCTTAGGTTATTCTGATAGCATGTCGAGTCATTTAAACTGTGGTTAATTCATCGATGTTTGAGGAAAACCAGGACAATAACATTAGCTACTCATGACTAAATTAACTTGCACAATATTTGCATTAAAGCAACTCAGATGTTATATTGAGGATCTCCTCACCTTACTTTAACTTTGAGGCTACTCTGAATGAAACTGCATGTTGCTGAATAAAGAGGCCTACTTTATACTAAATATTAAACTAAATATTAAGTTATGTTTAAAACTAGCACAATTTAGTTAAACTTTAACACTTACATGTAACTGCAATGGTGGCACAGGAGTTAAGTGTTTGCCCGTAATCAGAAGGTTGCAGGTTTGAGTCCCGCTCATTCTGTCACCGTTGTCGTGTTTTTGTAGCCTGGCAAGCCAGACTAAATAAATGTATTATTTAGTCTGGCAACGCTCCATTGACGACTCTCGGTTGTGGGGCGGGTTCTACCGTTGTCTTTCAAATGATCTCCGCATGCTACTGGACAATGAATGTGACATTCTCACCGCAACAGATATCGGTAAATGAGGTGCTCCACAGTTGAAGAAGGAGAAAACACCTATTTTTTTCTATTTAAAAAAGCACTTAAATACATCTATGTGCTCCTGATTCTAATGAAGCACAAGTTCTAATAGTCCAAAATTAATGTAAAAGCTGTTTTAAAGGAGCTGTCGCCATATTGTTTCACTCTGTTGCATCATCCCACCCACCAGGCGTACAGAGTGCCCTGATTGGCCCACAAAGCGGATAAAGCTCTGTGATTTGTTCACTATGCAGATAGAGCACTATGACTGGCCCACCATTATGGACCAATCACAGCTCTTTATTTGTTTGAAACCCCTCTAGAGAGCTGTGATTGGTCTGCCAGAATGCTGTTAGGGGCTGCAGAGGTTCCAGTGGAGCGTTCCTAGACCAAACTTTGCAAAGCAAGAATTTGGTCTAGTTCACTAAGCAAGTGTTTTTGGGCAAGACATTGAACTGGAGGGACCAGTGGCGCCTGTGTACGTTGTGCCCCAGGGCAGCTGTGGCTACAATGTAGCTTATCACCACCAGGGTGTGTGTGTGAATGGGTGAATGACTGATTGTGTTGTAAAGCACCTTGGGGGTTCCAGGACTCTAGAAGGAACAATATCAAATACAGGGCATTTACCATTTATGTATCTAAGGTTTGAGTTTATAGTGATTATAAAAATATATACTAAATACTAAACTTTTATTACTAAATACTAATGTACAAATAAATACTAAATATTTATTTTAACATAATTAATTACATTTATGTTTAAACATTTAGCTATTTTAATTTTTCTGAATAAATATTGTGCAAAATGGTGTTAAAATTTCACACTATCTAAGCTAAATTTGGCCAAATAAAATCTTATTCTTCTTAAATCAGCACCCATACTGTGGAACCACTAAATGGGGTGGTGGCACAAGAGTTAAGTGCTTGCCCTGTAATCGGAAGGTTGCAGGTTCGAGCCCTGCTCAGTCTGTCGCTGTCATTGTGTCCTTGGGCAAGACACTTAACCCACCTTGTCTGCTGGTGGTGGTCGGAAGGACCGGTGGTGCCAGTGCTTGGCAGCCTCACCTCTGTCAGTGCACCCCAGGGCAGCTGTGGCTACATCAGTGTGTGAATGGGTGAATGACTGTGTTGTAAAGCGCCTTGGGGGGTTCCAGGACTCTAGTAGGTGCTACAGTATATCAAATACAGGCCATTTACCATTTAACATAAATATTTTGGGCTTAGCTTATCTTTTATGAACCACCATAAATATTTATCATCTTCTGCTAATATTTTTTTTCTCAGTAAGGTGCACAGCAGAAAAACACTGCAGTCGAGACACTGTTAGAATCTGATAGAATCACAAGGCTTTCAGAAGTGAACATAGAAAATATGAAAGAAACATTAAACCATTAAGAAAATCTAAACATCTGCAGAAGCACCAGTATGTGACCCGCATACACACCAACTACCCGTATGTTCTTCAGCTGAATTCAGATGGGAAGTATTTTCTAATGGTGCAACCATCCTCCTCCAGTAAATCTAATGAGCAGTGCTGAGGAACAGAGGCTGGAGGTTAATCTAATTTAAACAACAAAATAATCCTGATAGGATCATTTGTATTCATGCAGATAGGACAGCTGTATCGTCCTTCCTGTAGCTTTGAGGCTGACTTTATGCAACTGTTTCAGTTAAATGAAAGAAAGGATCCTTACTTTAAATTTGACAAAAGTCTAACCTGAATTTGCAAGACAAAAATATTTTTAAAAAACCCATGAGAAACATTCATTGCTGTATGAAATAAGTAAAAATAATGTTATTTTTAAATTGACTATTAACCAGTAGTTTGACAACAAACCTGTTTCATTCTTGGGAGTCACTGCACTACTCTGAATACAATTAGTGCCTCATTTTACTTCTATGGAATTTCTCCATTTCACTCCCTCACTAACAGATTCCTGCTCAGAAACTAGTTTATCCCACTAGTAGAGACAAAACATTTCATCTTCATATTTGTAGTGCAGAAGTGATGACAATCTCAAACCGAAGCACGGATGTAAGAATCATCAGATAAAACACAGGTCTCTTGAAAAGCACACGGTCTGACACTAATTCAGTACGAATGCTGAGCTCCACAGGGTGACTGCACAGAACAAGTGAACTAAGAGAATGAACACTGAAAAGATTTCACTCAACACGAGAAAGTACTTCTTACTAAGAAGGCCTTTGTGTGCCTTTTAGAACTAGGTACATTGGTTTGGTTTCAAAACCATTTCACGTGGTAAAAGCCATTTGTTTAGCCTAAAAAATTGTTAAATGAAAAGAGATTAAGCTCTTTACCAGAAGTTATCCTGCAGTCAGGTGTAATAACTCAGCCAAATCCCAAAAAGTACATGAACTGGTGCATATTCATAACAGAGTTCATGTCAGGCTTTCATAACCAGAAAGTTCTGTCTCACACATACAAAAACTGGGAATGTGTTGGCACAATTTGGTCCCCTGGTCACTGTGAACTGGTGTTGTGCTGAGTTGTCATTCCTGACCAATGGAGAATATCTGGGACAAATTATATCCCCTTCTCTTACAAGATTAAGTTTTTTGGAATTAAAAAAATGGAATTTTCCCCTCAAAAAAGTTTTGAAACAAGGGAACATGTGTACATAAACTATACTAATTTTTAAAAGCACAAAAAGGTCACTGCCTTCTTCATATTGAAATGGTGTACTGACAGTGTGTGTACAGTCATGGTTGTAGTTCACACACACACACACACACACACACACACACACACACACACACACACACACACACACACACACACACACACACACACACACACACACACACACACACACACACACACACGCACACACACACTTTTTCTAAAGTCAATTTTTGTCCCCTGCACTTTTTACCGTCCACAAACAATATTACATTATATTAAATAGACATTGGTTGAGCACTAGGACCAAGCAGAAAACAACTGCTTGTGTTGAAGCCTGTTTCCCATTAGAACTGTCTATAAGTCCATCTATTGGCTCTGGTGATAGTTGCCAACGTGTGATTGGCCTTTCTTGCCACTTGTGTACTTGACAGTTCTGCATTCCGGACATTGCATAAAAGAGCTTCTAGACTGTAGTTTTATACGTATTTTTTGTATGCTTACTGTACCCCCACCACCACCACCACCACCACACACACACACCTCTAAAGTCAAACTACGTGCATGTATACAGTATTTATGTGAAGTGTAATATGTGTGGAATATTGTTTGAAGCTGCACAACAAAGTATTGATATACAAAAACTGATAATTAAACCTCCCCCCTCAGTTTTGCTGACAAAGGAAATCATAAAAGAGAAAAACACACCTCTGGGCAGATTTGTAGGGAGGCATCAGGCATACTCAGTCTGCGTACAAATCCACTTCCACTGGTGAAGAAGCGGTCAGCACCGCTACCCCAGGTGCCACTGATGGGCCGGCCTGTGTTGTAGAACATGAACGTGTCACTGCCAGACGTGGCAGTCAGGCAGGTCTTGTAGCAGTACGTCTTCGTTAGGGATCCATTTCCTCGCACCTCGATGTAGTGAGGTTCCACTTTAAGATCTCGTCGAAGCACTACATTGCTATTAGGCTGTCCCGGAGCTCCTCCGCCACCTCCCCCACCAGCACTTACACTGCTGCTCCCACCATCTGGAGGGGGTTTCTGTGACCCGCAGCAAGGAGAGCAAGAACCAGGCTGAGAGCAGTAGGCATGGCAACGGACGATGGCCAGCACAACCACAGTGACCAGGAAAACAAACGTTGTGGCACTCAAAGCCACAATCAAATACAGGGTGACGTTGGAGAAAAACAGTGTGCTGTGAGGTCTTGTGACCTTCTTGGTATCAGGTGCCACTTTTGGCACCACCTCTATGACGGCCACATTGATGGTGGCAGTGGAGGACAGAGGTGGCTGGCCATGATCCTTCACAACAACAGTTAGAGCGAATGAAGTGGAGTTGTCCTCCAGGATTCTGCGAGTGGTCTTGATCTCCCCAGTGTGCTGGTGAACTTTGAACAAGTCCATGTCCGTGGCAGTCTCCAGTTCATAGACCAGCCAAGCGTTTGTGCCCGCATCTGCATCATACGCAACTACTTTGGTCACCAAGGCACCAGGGTCTGCATTTTTTTGTACCGTCTCCAAGGAACGTGTCCCATTGCCAGGAGGACTTACTATCAGTGGAGCATGGTCATTCTGATCCATGATATAGATGTAGACAGTGGCAACTCGGCTGAGTGGAGGAATGCCCCCATCCTGGGCTTTGACCTGGAAATGAAACTCTCTCAGTGACTCATAGTCAAAGGCTCGCAGGGCATAAGCCTCACCTGTATCGGCCTTCACAGACACATACGATGTTACAGGGATGCCATGGTTGTTGTCATTGAGCACTGTATAAGTGATGCGTGCATTTTCTTTTATGTCTGCATCTTGAGCTTTCACAGTACACAAAGAGGCCCCGGGGGCATTGTTCTCAGTCACATAGACTGTATATGAAGTCTGTTCAAAGCGTGGTGGGTTGTCATTAACATCAGCCACATCCACCTGTATGGTCTTCTGGGACGATAAGGGAGGATTTCCCCCATCTGTGGCACTCAGAGTGACATTGTAGGCATCGGTGGTCTCACGGTCCAGGAAGGCTGAGGTAACCAGAGTGTAGTAGTTTCTAAATGATTTGATCTTGAATGGAAGGCCTGCTGGAATCTCTAAGCTCACCTGTTTGTTCGCGCCGGAGTCTTGATCAGTAACACTAATTAGTGCCACAACTGTGTCTGCACGGGCGTCCTCCCTCACCGGGCTCGACAGCGATGACAGCACTATCTGGGGGACATTGTCATTTACATCAACAACATCCACCACCACTTTACAGTGTGCAGCCACGGCCCCGGGTCCCTTATCCATAGCTTGGATGTACATCTCATAAGAGTGTGTCTCTTCATAGTCAACATTGCTTCTCACTCTTATTTCCCCTGTATTAGTTTCCATACTGAACATCTGCCGGACTCTTTCAGGGGTGTAGCTACTGAAAGAATAATAAATATCTCCATTTGTGCCCTCATCCAGGTCTGTTGCATTCAGTTTGACCACCAGGGTGTCTTTGGGCGAGTTTTCCAACAGTTTCACCTTGTACACTGAACTGTCAAACAAGGGAACATTGTCATTTGAGTCCAGCACCCTGATGTTAATTTTAGCCGAACCTGTTTTCTCCGGTATCCCACCATCCACAGCACTTAGAATTAACTGGTGGTAAGGCGTCTGCTCACGATCTAGGGGCTTTTTGAGCACCAGCTCAATGTGCTTTGTATTTAGAGAGGGTTTGTTTGAAACCAGCGCAAAATTCTCGTTTGTGCTAAGCTGATACATGCGGACTGAGTTAGAGCCAATGTCTGGGTCTTGGGCGTTTTCTATGGAATAACGAGACCCCGGCAGAGCGGATTCTGTGATTTCCAGTTGATACTCATCTCTGGGGAACTGCGGAGCATTGTCATTGGCATCCACAATCTCCACCACGACTTGGTGCTCCTCTGTGGGGTTTTCAACCAGCACCTCCAGGTTAATAAGGCAAGTGCTGGAGAGATCACACAGCGCCTCTCTGTCGATCCTGTCATTGACAAGTAATTTCCCGTTTTTGGGGTTGACAATCACATAGCGTTTTCCGCTGTTGGAGGTTACCTTGATTCTTCGGCTGGCCAGCTTTCGAATATCCAGCCCCAGGTCGTGCGCTAATTCACCAACCAGTGCGCCGTTTTCTAGTTCTTCTGTAATAGAGTATCGCAACTGTCCAAACGCAAGGCCACAAAATAAGGAAAACAGCACGAAATAAAAAGGCACATTACTCCCTGTCCAGTTGCATATCCCCGTCACAGCCATCGCAAGCTCACAGGATCCGCAGACGGATTAAACGCAGCCTTCCGCCTTTTTAGCCTGCAGTATCTTGCATCCCAGCACCTCATCAAGGTGCGCTACTTGGTCTCCCGGTGAGTGAAACAGCAGATCCATTGCGTTGCCCGGCACGAGTCAGTCCTCACCAGCGCACCCATATTTCCTTTGTCTGTGATGCACTTTTTTTCTCTCCCTCATGCGCGTCTCTGACGGGTGTGTTTCCCAGCCGCTGGAGCTGTGAGAACGTCAAGGCAGAGAAAAACACACTCAAAGAACCAGAAAAGAAGGGGGTTGTTTCAAAATAAAATACAATGCCGTTGTCTCATAATAAAGGTAATTTATTTTGGGGGCGATTTTGTGGCTTACATATGCGGTTTTAAGTTTAATTTTATTACCCAATGCTATTTAACATAACATTTCATATTTATTCATACAAAACCAGTTTTATAAATATTTTTCTACGTAAATAACAACGTCTAGAGAGAATAATTCATAACTCGGGAGCTTATTTACATATTTATAGAAGCACTGTGTTATCGTTCAGCATTAAGAAGCCTGCTGTGAGCTCCCAAGCGGAAGTCGTGTGACTGAATGTGTCTGACTTGATGTTGTAATGAACGCATCCCACCCAGGCACGCGCGCTCAGACTTCATCTCTCTCCTCTGTGGCGCAGCTCCCCTCCACGCCCATTTATCTCCTCTCTTTCCTCCATGGCGATTTGAAAGAACAAGAGGAAACAACATCAATAACACCAATAATAATAATAATAATAATAATAATAATAATAATAATAATAATAATAATAATAATAATAATAGTATTGCGCGCTCTTGTGCACCAGTTATTCATCATTATTAAGATGCGCTGAAGCACGTGATTGGGAAATTGATGATGAGGATTACCGGTGTGGAGAAACAACATTTATTTGAGATGTTTTGCTGATGAGGAGGTGCCCCCTCGCCCCCAGTGGAAAATAACAGAAGGAAAGGAGAGAGAGAGAGGGTGGGAAAAGAGAGTGGGGCTGCAGACACATGTTGGGAGACGACGAGCGTCTGATTCCGTGTTCTTTGTCTTGCATCAGGATGGTTATTTTGCCGGTAGCTATTCTGCGGCACAGCCCACCGCATGGCCAGCATTTGCGGGCAATGCGCTGCGCAGAGACAGCACTGACAATCGCAATCTTCCCTCCACATGGATCACTGTCAGTGGTGGACAGTGGTGTCAGGTCACATATCCATCGTGGACTCATGAGAACAGAGCACAAACCGAATCTGATCTCAGATAAACATAGAAACTGACTATTTGGACGAATCCAAGGATGACATGAAATGAATATATTGTCAATTATAAAATATTATTATCATGAAGAGGAGCCGCAATATGTGACATTCTTCTGTCCTTGTTTGATCATTTAGGGTTTAATTAGCATATTTTATTTTTTCTTCCTAATCAAAATAAAAACAAACAACAATAAAAATAAAAGAAAAAAAGAAACAAGAAAATAAGACTGAGCCAGCCTTGCAGTCACACACTGCCTCGGGTTTTGCACCTTGCACTCTCATCTTTTGCATTTGCATTTATGCATTTACTTCTTTAACCCTCTTGAGGCAGGTGTTGCAGATTTGCAACGTTAAAACGTACCTACCTGATTACTCCACATACGTATTTCATGAGCATTTTTTAACTCAGAAGTACCCCTGGAGGACTTAGTTGTTTGTCCTTTAATCAAAACTTATTTTGAGCCTGAGATAATTAAAAGAAATACACAAAATCAATAAAAAAGTGTAAGGATAAAAACATCATTTCAGATTGAGATCAAATCTGCAGATTCTCATCTGAGAGACCTGCTGCTTATGCAAACCCAAAGTAGGTCTCTGCTGCAGGTGCATGTCCTGAAAGGATTCTGGGAGACTTAACAGACTTGTAAAGACGCAGAAAGCTGTTTTTTGGATTTTGGAACACTTAAATAGTATATACAGTGGCCTGTATTTGTATAACCCCTTCTTAGGGTTCTACAACCCCCAAAGGTGCTTCACAACACAGTCAGTCATTCACACATTCACACGCTGCTGATCATGTACGATCTAGCCATGGCTACCCCTTGGCTGCATATAATACAAGAAATGGTCGGATGGTGTCCCTGAAGCATTTCATTTACATTTCAGAGTAAGCTACACTTTATATTACAGTGTTATAACTCTACCTCAATGATGATATGTGAGAAAATGTTTTCATTTACCAAATCTTCTCTTTGTATGTCTTCACAGCTGTTGATAGAATAAGCCAGACAATGCCATTCCAACTGAGAGTCATTGTTGCTGAACATGACATTCGAAAGTTGAAGCTTCAATCAGGAGTTCCTGATACTGTAGAAGGTCTTGTGTCAGTGATTCTTGAAGAATTACAACTGCATGGTGAATTTGGGCTGCTTTATGAAGATAAAGACTTTGGGAATGAATTTTTCAGTGTCATCTCAACTGCTGATTTGGAAGATATGGCCACCGTAAAGCTAGTAAGAAAAGAACCTGTTCTCACCCTTGACTTTGTTCCATTGAATGAATCGGGACTTCCTCATACAACGACCTCAGGAGACATGTCTGCTGCAGATGAAAGTGAAGATTCAGCCCTTGCAGAGGATGATGGTGGATCATCAAGCTCAAACAACACCATCATTCTTCCTGCATCATGCCGTACTGCTCCATGGCCAGCTGAATTAGAAGTCCCTACATTTTCAAGGGACATTGAAATGACACTTGCTGAGGCAAACATGATACACCAGACATCTGGAAGACACTTCAATGATGCAAGCATAAAATCTGCAGCAATGCAAGACCTTGCCAAAGCCATATTCTCGTACACAGCATACCCTTCAAATGTGCAAATAATCTCAGTTGTTGAAGACCTTGTTGAGAAGTTTCCTTGTCTGAAGGAACCAGGGTCCTTTTCAGGAATGTATGGCTGGCAGCAACGGCTGAAGTATAAAATGCACAATTACTGCACAATGTTGAAGTCACGCAAGTTTGCTTACCCAGAATTGGAAGTAAACGTGTTAAAAAAGAAGAAACCTGGAAATTCCGCTCCTGCAAAAAATGTGAGAAAACCAAAGAAAGCCGAGGTGAATTATCTCCCTCCACATCCTAGTGGAGAAAGTAAGGAGACCTTGGAGAGGGAGAGGCTTGAGTTGGTGGAAGAAACAAAGAAGAGAAACAATGCAAAGTTGATTGCAGAAAAAATGGCCAAAACATTTCCTCTACGGAGAATGGAGGTTGTGACCGAATGCCCTGCTGCCCATGAAACAGCAATTGTTGCATTTTTCAAACAGTAAGTGGAAGTGGAGTAAGACTCAGGTAGTAATTAACTTTGCTCTTTAAAGTTAATTAGAACTCTCAGTCACAGTAACATGTAAAATGCTAATCAGACTTGAGGGTTGTCAGTTTTATTAAATGTGTTTATTTAGTCATTTTAACATTTGAGTTAGTCATATTCTTCATTAGTTTTTTGTTTTTTTAGTTGAAGACATTCTGATTATTTCTGTAATTAGTGATTTCCCTTTTTTATTGGTTCTCTGGAGTTGTTTTATTCGCTATATATTTTAAATTCCCTATGCTCATTGACCATTTCCCTCACCAATCATGAGCTGCTCTCTCTTAGCAATCAAACTCCTTCAAGTCCCTTATTGCATACCATATATGGTGAGATTACAACCACTGTTGTTTCAGGAGTCATTGAAAGTGCTGAGTGTGTGAGACTAGAATGCAATAGTTCTGTACCTTGTGTGTTTTTATGGTAAAACCTAAGATTTGTGTGCTAAAAGATAAACTGATAAGCCACTAAATATCGCCCCCAGTTTAGTAGAGTAAGAAATGGCAGTGGTTGTAAACCACAAACCAGAGTGGGTAATAACATTTCACTGTGAGAGGAGCATTAGACAGAGGTCAAGTTCTGGGAAATCCAACAAACTCTCAAAGGAGAAGTCAGTCGCAGCATCTGACGGGTTAAGGCTGTCCTTATAGCCTTTGGGAGCAGGTCACCGGATGAAAGTGTCTCATGGGAGACAGGGTGACACCTCAAAGCTCTGAGCAGTTAGCTGGATCAAAAATAACTTTGTTTAATTAAAGTTTAATATTTATGTATTTATATGAGACAAGTACAGAGGAGAAATAAATAAATAAATAAATAACACAAACAATAATACAGATTCTTAACCAGCTTGTTTTTCCAAATCATTTCCCTTTTGTTGCATTGGATTCATGTCTCCATAGAAACAATGTGTGTGAGCTGTGACCAAACCAGATGTACTGTCCCGACGCATAAACATGCTTATTTATGTAGTGACGGGTCTGTAGGAGTTGTGTTGGCACATCAAAGAACACTACGCTCACTGTTGCCCCCTTTTCTCTAAAAAAATACATTTAAGCTCATCTTAAATGATTCTGCAACACGAGTCGGGTTCTTTCAGCAATGCATTTTAAAATATATTTAGTAAATTATTGTAATGTAGCTTAAATACTGAGTTGTGGGGATTTTTATACTTATGTGGTTCATCACCACATGCATGCAAAAAAGAGCAGCAAATATGAACTTGTGCTGGAGCGACCCCTTGGCGAGGGCAGCCATGCACATAAATAACCTGCCAGAGGCGTCACTCAAGAAAGAAGTCTAAATCTCACAGCACTTTACTCCATACCAGCTATCAGGAAGTCCGTTTATTTTTTGTTCTCAGTTGGTAAATCTCCTGAAAGTGTGAAGCCTGATAAAGATGACTGTCTTTTTAGATCGTAAGCAGAGTCAGCCTTAATCATGTGAAGTGATGTAACTGAAAGGCAACAAGACAGGCGCTTTCTCTAGAGAATTTGACACGGTGAATTTTCAGAGATGCACTAACAGATTTGTCTTGTCTGATGTGCATCTCTAAATCAGAGTGACAACTCACTCGTATCAGTTTCTGCCACAGCGCAGTGACTCTTTTCACACGTCCCAATCTCACAATCAGATGAATGATGCATCGGTTTTGTCCTCCTGGCTGCTGCTCGGCCCTCCAGTTCACTAGACACAGGCTGAAAAAGTCCTCGGTTCATCCATTCAGCCGTTACGCAAACTAAAGCTCTGAGGTGAAAATACCAGTGACCCCATTGTGCATGGGCTCCAGCCAGAGTCATCTCATAAATGGGTCAAGCTCGCTCAGCATCTCTGACACTTTGACGGATGACATTGCAGTTCTAAAAGCAGCACAGATTCGTAAATGC